GTGGTGTTGAAGAGGTGGGTTTGCTTTATCTTCCCTCTTGCCTCTTTTTCTCCTCCCTCTTCCCTCACCTCATCTCTCCTTACCCGTTCCCCTTGGCGCTGTATAAACCAGAGGGCAGGGCATCCAGCTGCTTCCACAGCAGAACAATGTTTGGGCAGAGTCCATGTTGACACAAGTGCATTATATCCTGAAGGGTCAACTGCAGCTTTTTTTTTGGTTACTTTTTTTTTAATCAACTGTGTAGAATTAACCTTCCGCTTTTACACAGATGCCATTCGTCCAAAATTTATGAGCTCAGCTAATTGTCATCTCCTATCATTGTACTATCCTGCCAGCTTAAAAGTAACCTTATTTTCCCATTAAAACTATTGGAAACCCTCCCCTTCCTTAACATTTAATAACGTGCATGTAGGACTGGTTAGACAACCAAGGCTCCATTCTCCCATCATGGGCTTTGCTGAGCAAGGAGTATTAGGAGGGACCTTATCGCTCTCCACAACTACCTGAAAGGAAGCTGTAGTCAGGTAAGGGTCAGTCTTTTCTCCCAAGTAACAAGTAATAGGACAAGAGGAAATTGGCCTCAAGTTGCATCAGGGGAAGTTTAGGTTGGATATGAGGAAGAATTTATTCAACAAAATGGTGGTAAGGCATTGTAACAGGCTGCCCGGTGAAGTGGTGAAATCACCATCCCTGGAATTGTTCAAAAAATGTGTAGATGCAGCACTCACGGATATGGTTTTGTAGTGAACAAGGTGGTGTTAGGTTAGCAGTTGGACTCAGTGATCAGAGAGGTCTTTTCCAACTTTAATGATTCTGCGACTCTCACCTAAAGGTCAAACACAAACTCATGGTCCAAATGCTAACTTGGTACCTCAACATCCATCCTGCATGCAGTGGAGAGCTGTCCAAGGGCTTGGCCTGCTGTACATAAACCCTTTCCACAGCACACCTATGCTTCTTGGCCCTGTGGTTCCTTAGCAATGGTAACTTTGACACAGCGGCGCCCACAGTGTACAGCCAGTTTGAGAACTATCTTGATAAATGCCCCATCCTTCAATTCTGAGGGGGCAAAACAGCTTCAGCTGCCTAGAGGCAACAAACAGCCCAGCAAAAACACTCTGACTGCTGTTTCTAGGAAGCAGACTTGTTACTCACCTTTTCAGAAAACATCTCAGTTCCACAAAACACTCTTAATGTGAAGTTCAGCCAGTGGAGTTGCTTGCCGAGAGGCACATCTGACACAAGGAAAAAGTATTCCAGGTAGAGTTCCTCACAGATTTGAGACTGACATTATCAGGACAAGCACACTATGGTTCTTCTAGCTATTCTCATCCCATTCTCTGCACACAGTAAGTCTTTTTCTGGTGGCAGTACACTTCACAGTCTATGAAAAATGGACTAGCTGATGGTGCTTGAGTTTTCCTTCTTTGATGGGATCTCTACTAAAATCAGCACAGAGAAACACATCCCCACCCACCCCACTTCTAAATATTGACTGCATGTCAATAGTTCAGTGTTTAGATATGTTTCAGATAAAAAACAATCAAACAATTTAAAGAATTAATTTTTTTTTCAAGGAAACTTCCACCATTATTTTTTCTGGGCAAAGCCTTTGTGTGTTCACTTTTCCAAAACACAGTGCTGTGGTATCACAGTTTCTGCAGTGGCAGTGTAGGCACTGAATTCTTATGTTTCATTGAATGCTTGTTCAAAACAGCTGTATGTTCTATATAAAACATGTTTACATAGTAAATGTACTTCCTGTAGACACAAAGAAATGTTAATGAATAACCATTCCTGCGTTTCAAATTTTGCAGGGCTGTGGGAAGGATCAGTTCATGAAAAAATGGTTAATGTTCACCCACTTTCTGGCACATGAAATCCGTTACTACAACTAATCCCTTACAGAGAAAAGAAAACAGGGAAAACAAACTGGTAGTGGCTGGTTCTACTAGAGTTTGGGTTTTTTGTTGTTGTTTCTTTATTTTTTTGGTTTTGTTTTTTGTTTGTTTGTTTGTTTTGTTTTGTTGGGTTTTTTTTTTAGAGAAATTGTGATATTCATATATATGGGAGAGGAACAGAGAAGTTTCAGTGGAGAATGCCAGAAGACATGGACTCCTTTTGGTAGGCAAGGCTGTTGCCCTTACTTGTATATATTGTCTTGGATTCTCACCTTCAGAGAAAATGCCAGTTTGATATCACACAGTATTCACTACCCATATTTACATCCTATTGGCTGGGGCCCAGGGAAGACAAACAACCGGTATTTTCCTTTCAATTTATATCTGAATATCTATATGGCCTAAAAGACTTCTTAAATGGTAGATCTCCATTTACCCTTGAAAATTATTGAAAAGTAAAAATCAGGTGTTCTGACCTATAGCACTGCTCAAGAAAAGCCTCAAAAAGAAAACTTACTTCTAGGCGAAGGTCTTCCTCAAATGCAAAAATGTTAAAGAATAAGAATTTTGTTTGTAGCTCTGAAGTCCCACATGTTCTCCACTTCCCTACAAAGTAAGTCACTAGATTAGGCTTTGCTATACAGGAATTTAATCTGAACTACACAGCTCTTTCTTCCAGTCTGCTGAAAATGCACAAGATGCACAGACAGAAACCAACACTCTTCAAAGGAAACCCAAAGAGCATGGGGAAGATCCTTAGCAGAGTAAAGCATCTGAACTGAAGATGGGACAGGAACAGTTTGCACCAGCCAGGAATCTGCTCTGCATCTGCAGACTAGTTTATGAAGAAAAGGTGATACACCATACATGGAGCAGATGCACTCATGTACTGTAAAGCAAAAACAAGCTCTTCTGGGGATGTTCCAACATTTCTACACAAGATTTCACAGTGTACAAAAATCAATTCATGTGAATGAAAACCTTTTTAGCTGCAACCTCTCTGCATGGTTTGAAAGTGCTACTGTGAACAAGGTTTTCAAAGGCCACCCAACAAGCAATGCTCAGCTACATCTCCTTTGCAGGGCGGCACATGAACAGCACATTTCAGTTTCAAGAGATTGAAAAAGCATTACCACAGCAATGAGACCTTAGTGCAATCTGCTCAATAAACACATTTCCTGACAATTACTATTCTTGTGCAAAAGGTATACATTATTTTTGAGATAAGATTTTTTTGTGTGTGTGTGATATCACAGCAATTAATAAGGGACAATCTGGATACTTATGTTTTGAAAAACAATAATTTGTTCAAATAAACAACTTTTTAAATTCAAAGAACTCATTCTCTAAAACTGAGTAAGGAGAGGGGGAGCTGATGGATCTCTCGCAAATTCAAGAAGTCCTTAGCAAGTAGTGTGGTAAATGTGATGAACCTCCACCTAATTATTAAAACCTTTGCAAAACTTCCTTTTTTCAGAGATGTTCAGTTTCTCCAAAAGAGATCTAAAACAAATGAAAGAGAAAAAAGTTTCACGAGAAGACATAATTAGAGACACATATAAACAAAGCTGATGAAATCAAAGGAAAACTTGATTTCTTTATACACATCCTAAGAAAAGAGATAAGAAAGAAAATGCCTGCATGGAGTGCTATTTTGAATTACCAAACACTGCCACCATGTGTTCACTTCAAAGGCCATCAGGCTGCTTCAAAACAGCTAGATAGGAATTATTAAAAGATAAAGTAAATCAAATTTGTTGCTCTATCTCTTACGTAAACATTTCTGTATTATGCAATAGTGATGACAACTTCAACAAGGTTTTAATTACCTTTAGCCAGTGGTGTCACACTTGTAAAAGAACACATAGTTCTGTTTCTAATCCCTCCTATCCTATCATCATTGTGGAAAGCACCAACTAGAGAATGACAGAAAGAACATAATGGACAAGCTTTGTTTCCACACAGAGATGCCTACCATAGTAGATGTTTCATTGTATTTGTGCAGTGCCTGCCTCAGTAAACTTCTAGTTAGTCCTGATGCTCCCTAGAAGGTACCAAAAATCATAATGTTCACACAACTACAATGTAATTATTTCAGAGATTGACTTTTCTTCAAATATTTATGCATACTGAGTAAAACCATTCACATAATGATGGAGACAGTGGATTCAGATAACTTCCTACAGCACTAATTTTCACTAGGTCTGTTATAAGCAACAAAGGATTTCTACCTTTACTTGAAAACTATATCCATGCCAATTTGAATTAGGAGCATTCTGTTTCTTATTATTTAATAAAATCTCCCACCTGAAAACTCTCTTTGAGATGGAAGGCAGGCAGAGGAACTACATCTCATTACTGAAAAGCTAAAATGATTAGAGATACTCCTCTTCCTATTTAGATGGGACATTCAAAAACACGCAAAGGAATTCCAATGAATTCCAATAGCCATGAAGATGAATACCCGATTTCCTTCCACATTTTCCAAACTTCTGTTACAAATTCTTTTGAGTTGGGATGCCTAACATTAGCTTTTAAGACCAAGAATTATTGGAAAAAAAATTCTGTTATTTTTAACTAATATACACATATAAATTGTTTAATTGAACTCACAAAAACTGACAGGAATCATCACTCCCTCATGACCATTATCCAGGTAAACAAAATATTTCAACAACTTTCCTCAGGGGCATGCTGGAGATTCCACATCTATGTCTGTATAGATTCACTTAGTGAATACCTCAAGGAAAACACAGACCTCAGGGAGCAAGGCCAACAATTAAAGCAGATCCAAGTAATACCTGGATGAAATGCCACACTTGCAAGAAAACATTCTTTGGTACAATTCCAGATATCTGAAATTTCCAGAATTTTGAAAAAAGACTGGACAACTACTTGAATGCCTAATGGATGACTATACAGTTTTGGACAGCTCAGATCCTGAATTAATTTCTTTTAGTGCGATGGTGAATTGGGAAAGGGAGGCCTCCAGGACCTGGAGTTTTTAGCCCATTACCTGGAGAGGAAAGTGGTCCCTCCCTGCCCCCCACCACGAGGTCCCCATGGAGCCCACAGAGACCACAGGAGAGGACAGAGCGAGAGAGAGTTTATTGTTCATGGAAAGGGATATACATAGGTTTTGAGGGGATCACAGAACAACCAATCAAAAGTTCAAAGGGTCTTACAAACCCACCAGTGGCAAGAAAGGGTTAACAACCAATAGATAAGGAGCTAACAAAGCCAATGAGAAAACTTCCAATTATCTCCTCAGACATTCCTCAGTAGAGATAACTCGAGGGGGTACTTGGGAAGAAGAAAGGGAGTTAACAAAAAGACTACAAAAAAGCCATTTTGAAAGCATGTTCACCCAAACAACAGTAAAAACTTCTGTCCTTCTTATATACTGCAGGTCCACTGCAACACTTTAGGACAAGAAAATCAGAACACTTGAATGTGATGTGTTTTGTCAGTGTTACTCATGCATGGACCCCACTGTATGTCTTAGGTTATTCTAAGCTTGTTTTGTTCTCAGAAATACTGAGTGTTTGAAGTTAAGACTCTTTCCAATAACTTGAACCTCAAAAGTGACTCCAAAGAGAGAGATGGCAAAGATGAGTAACTGAAGTGGAAAAGTAAGTAACTGATAAAGAACAAACCCAATGACCTCTACCATGTCTTTTGCCCTTTGTTCTTTAATGTGCATTGTAGGATATAAACTTATTCTACAGCTGTATTCCACAAGTCTTTTAACAGCAGGAAGAATCCATAAGCCATAAGCCCTACTGGCAAATGACAGCATTAAGTCAGAATAAATAACTGGATTGTCCCAGCCTGTTCAAGATTTGTTCAACAATAGATGGCAGCAGTGTTCCCATCAGAGAGCTTCAGAGGTAGGAAAACAAACTGGAAAAGCATCTTTGACAAAATTGCCAAAGGTCCATCATGTTTCTTACTGCAGACTTAGAGCAGAAAATCACAGCTACAGCACTAATTACAAAAGAAGAAACTGTCAATGTGCTCTATCTTAGGTTAAAGTATATGAAGAGAACAGCATGCAAGATAATTTTAGCGAAGTTTAAATACAGGAACAAAAGGAGAACTTACGCTGTTGAAAATATACACCTATGGTCTATAATGGTGCTTTTCAGTACATGAACACACTTCCAAAAGGAGAAAGCATGTCAGCCATTTATGTGTTTCTAAAACATGACTGTGTTTTAATTTGTTGATCTCTTTCATACAATCAACATGTAAATCTTAAATAATTTTTGCCTTACAATACTTATCATCCACCCCCTTACAATACTTACCACCATCAAAGCAAGTGTCATCATAAATGTCACTACCAAGCCACACCTAGCTGAAGTTAACGTGTCTCAGCAAAATCAAAGCCTCCAAAAATATAATTAATATTTGCCAACTGAGGTTTTAAAAAAAGCTGACATTTTAGACTGTGGCTCATACACTGCATTTCATTCATTATTCTCTATTCTTAATCTTTTTTTATCTAGTTCAAACTTCTTCACACCCTTTAGGTATCATAGCAATAAAAAAAGTGACACAGCTACATTTCAAACGCACATGATATATTTCAAGAGTAACATAAAGGAAGCAATATGATCATAGCATATATCAATCCCCCACACCAAATAAACTAAATTCTCACTGTGATTTTCAGTCAAGAAACATTGCAAAGAAGCTTATTAAAATGTAATTTGAATCTCTAATCCTCTGTAGAGACAAATATTCTCCAGACAGTACCCTCTGGTTTTACTCTCCATAGGAGAAAGCAAATGGATAGACACTGGTGGTCTTCTGTGATTCTGTTCTCTGAAATTCTATTCTTTGGTGATGAAAAAGGGGAAGGATGTATTCTTAAAAAATAAATTATTCAAATGAATGTTATGTGCAAAAAGAGGATAACTTTCTGAACCACAATGAATATGTGTCTGTGAGCATGTACATGTGAGCTATTCACCAACTGACTAACTGAATACGTATTGGGAATGAGCAGAAGAAATTAAACAAAATAAACACACGTTGTGCAAAAGTTATTTCACCTTGTATCCTTTAAATTCTGGTATATAAACAACTTGTGTTATCAGCTCTACCTCAGTGCAAGATCTGACACTGTTTAGAACTAACAGCGAGAACCACAGGTGCCAACGAGTGCTATTCTATGCTCATTGTTTCCTAACCTGTTGAACACAGTGTCTGACATAAATTCCAGTGTATTAAAAAGTAAAAAATTACTTTTTGAATTTAAAAATCTCAGATCTTTTATTCACACTCTTTATTTAGCTATTTTTCAGTACAATAGAAAACTACAAAAAAAGCCCCAATGGACATAACACAAATTAAACTTACAGTAGAACTTGCAACATCCTGATTTAGTTCACAGTAAATCTTTTTCAGTGCATTCAGTAAACAATTCATTCAATGAAAGCTTGATCACCTCCAGTCTCAACAGCTACGTTCTAATAAAAAGACTACATTTTGCATCCAAACTTTGACAATGGTTGGTGAAGTTTGTCTTTGAATTAGACTTCTCAAATATGAGGACTCCAGAAGTCTTTAGATATTACAATGTCCAAACAGTCTTAAGCCCATTTAATTCATGTAGCTAGATGCATTAACATTAGCTTTCTGTCACTGATTTTTCTTATTTTTATCAAAGCCTTGTTTGTAAGTTCCATGGTTTCATCCCACTTGTTTTTCTCAGGGCTTGTGTATGTCACCAAGTTTTCAGTGTACTGCAACACTAACTTCAAAAACCTATGAGAAATAACACCAAAGAAGAAAAACTCTTTAAAGGATTTAAAAAGAAAGAAAAAAAAAATCTCAGTGCCTGATTTAAAGCTGCTAACGTCTTCAAATATCCAAATCTCCTCCTCAAGATGATCAATACATTCAGGTTTGTTCTACTTCTGGAAAAGAACCACTCCCTCACTCTCACAGTAGGATGCAAAGATTTTCAGAACTGCAATTAACACTGCCATAGAAAGAACAGAGTGACAAAATGTGTGATAGAATTTTCCCCAAATGGTTTCCTTTCTTTTCTCAGTCAAATGTTTCACAATGTATATGATACCAAACCAGCTATTAATTGACACACAGAGTAAAATCACCAACATCTTAAATACAGTTTTTATGTACTATTATTTGAGTGTATGATTGTTTCCTCTCTATACTAAGGGGGAGTCTAAAAAATTTAAAAATGTGAATACCTGAAAATATATGGTCTAGTTAAGTTATTTTAATTCTTGAGTGAACATTGTCTGACGTATAATTATGACTAATGATAGAAAATCTCTACAGGATTTGTATTACAGATCAAAAAGGAATATATACAATTCCTATTTTCATAAAGTAAGTTCAGATACTCACTTTAGATACTGCTGATAATCAAAAGGATTCTTCTTACAAACAGCATGAACACTGACTAATTCCACAGTAATCAATATTAAGATGAGTCGCAACACTGGAGACAAAAATTTAATGCTAGAAATTAAAAAAAAAAAAACCCAAACAAATTAAAAAAAAAATCACTGACATAGAAGAATTCTTCAGACTTCTGCACCCATCCTAAATAGCTGAATATTACAGAGTGGGGGAAAAAAAAAAGGACTATGAAAAGTCCTTCAGCAAAAAGTAGTGCAAATCCCAGAACAAGAAATGAAGACCATAAATGAGGAAATCTCCTAAAAAGGAAAAAAAGAGAAATGCATATAATTAAGATTCTGAAGAAAAACTTATGGGAACCCATTATTCCATAGAATAAATCATATTTCAACTGAATCGCAAAATGTATCATCAGTTTCCGTTTGACCTATTTCTTAAATAATATGGTTAACATTTTTAGGAACATAACCTGGCCAATAATACAACATTTAATTATTAAACATCTATGCATAGATATATCTATATATAAGGATGCTGATTCAGGTATAATTATAAAAAGCAGTAAACTAAAGTAGATAAAGTCTTCAAATCAGTTAAACCTATTGCATTCAGATAAATTCTGAATGGCAATTATATATTTAATGAACAGGAAAAGCTAGCATCTACAAAAATACAATCTAACATTTAAATGATACTTAATTTTAAAGTGACGCAATCTAGCAATGCTAAAAATACCCACTAACTTATTCTCCAGTTTGAGATTTTCTTTTTAGTTCAATATTCCTGCTTAACAAAAATCTGGTTTGACACTTAACTCTGAAATGGTTAATGAGAACTTGTGAACACTGTTGACTTTAACCTTCTAAGACAAACCACTGAAAGCCAGCAACAGCAGCGTGCAGCCACTCTCTCTCAGCCTAACCACAAAGTAAAGGGAAACCATCAGCCAACCTGTTCAACATCCGTAGATAGTTATGCCTCTGACGAGAACGCAGAGTCTTGTTCACCCACTGTGTGTATCTCACCTCAGCGCTGGCAATAACTTGTTCGGACACTTGATGGCACTGCGTGCTCATTTTGCGGAGTATCACCACTATTTCCAGAACAGGTCGTGGACAGTAAAGGGTGCAAATACGCGTATCACAAAGTTCAGTCAACAGCCTCCAAAACAGGAAGGGATTTTTAATGTCAGTCTTTCATTAGATGGATTTAGCATGAGACACATTTCATATTCAGTGTGGTTTGACTCAACGTTTTAACCCAGAAAACCTGGAAACAAACTGCCCTTACCTCATGACTGAAAAAAAGCAAGGATCTGTGTAGCAGGGGTAGTGATTATGTTCTCTATCACTTTACTGAATATAAATGCAAAGCTGCTGGTGATGAATATGTTTCCCATTTCAGATCAAAGAAACAAAACCACAATAAACAAAACTGCCTGCCTGAAATGATATACTGAACACATCAAATCACAGTAGGGTTGTGGTTGAAGCCTCCCACCACAGTTCAACTCATAATGAATTAACATTCACCATAATAAGACTCACTGAAACAAATGGTATTAATTAGTACTCCCATTAGTGTGTGGTCCTTCTTCTGGGCAAAACAAGCAGCAGACTTAATATTTTGTAAAATGCAGGTGGTGAGACCATTTTTTTAATCAACACCACACCAGATCACGCTTTGTTAAATCACACAAATACATTCCTGCTGTCCTATTCTAATCCACTACACTGATGTGTTACACATCACTTTAAACACTGTTTTTACAGAAGTGTTTCCTAATCTCCCTCTGAGACAGCAAAACATCAATGACCAAAAGTGATGGAGGCAGAAAACTCCAAAATAAAGTTTATGACTTTAGTAATTAGGCTTCTTTTTCATAAATGAGAAAAATGGAAGATTGGTGGGCAGGAAAAAGCAAGCACACATGTTATGCAAGTAAAGCAGCAGGTAAAATCCTCTTGGCACTATCCTGCTCATGCCTAATGGGTTTGATTATGAGTGTTTTGTTCCAAGATATTCATGCAGTCATGGGAATCTGTAGGTTCCCTTAAGAGTGGAAATCAAAAGTCAAATTGTTTTGAACATCATTCCAAGTAGATATAATTGGAACTAACACACCTCCAAGTCTGACACCACATATTACAAGATGTATTCTATTTCTGAATCTTGATATTAAAGCATGTAAAAACATAATTATTTAGTGGTGTATTACCATTTTGAATGCCACACACAGTTGTGACATCAAGCACATTAAAATGAATTTCTGATACAATTTTAGCACACAAAACAGGTTAAAACTAATCTAATCTAGTCAGTACATAAACATTTAAACTATTTTGCTTTCCCAACCTGGAAAAAAAGTGATTATTTTTTCATATTTATTTCCAAGTAAAATCTCTACTGTAATTCCCAAATCTACAGTATCCCATCTTAATTTTGAAGATGATGCTCAGCTGCAATCCTAAAATTTTCAGATTAGATCAGCAGCAACAATAGAAAAGTGTATACAACATTTCAAGCATTGCTCTGAAAACAGGGAAGTGAGTAACTTAGGTTTGAGACTTCTTATGTATGTAGAAGCTGACAGCAAGAACCAAGAGGACATCAAACTCACCTCTCTGTTAGGACGCTATTGATTGGATCATCTGAACTACAGCAATTCTGGGGCATATACTGCAGCAACTGAGATGTAATTTCAGATATCATAAAAATTAAAGTACTAGCTTCAGCGTTTTCTTCCAAACTTGAAAAAAAGAAAACAATTAACATTTGAGATGATAAAATTGTGTAGTACTTATTATTTCTCATCTCTCAGGTCTAAACAAGTATAATTTCCTCCAGTGATATTATTAATGACTTCCTCCTTTTCAAATAACAAGAGAATGTTACACTCTTTTTCTAACTAGTATCTTATATCAAGTCTTCCACTATTTTGGTTACCAAGTCCTTTTTAAAATAAGGCATTATTTTCTGTTTTACATATAGTGACCTTTTCTTCAGAAACAGAATATGGAGCCACTAACACTTCTGTCTCTCAGGTATCTTCTCACTCCCTTCAAATTAGCACACTGTTTATAGTTTTTACAGGACCTGTACTGATGTGCACAGCACAGATTAAGCTAAAGAGAACAAAGGGGTCTTCTCACAACCCCTCTGGCATCTACCATCCTTCTAAGTAAAATATTTGGGGAGACATTTCACCATCTCAAATCCCATTCTTCATAACTATTTTGAGAACTCTCTTATATAGCATATACATACCCTTTAATTGTTTGAACTTGTTCCTCAGGCACTGTTGGCAATTCGGACCATAAGTGAATGCTCTTCATACATTCCAGCACCTCAAAAACATATGAAAAATGTCTTGTAAAGTGTAGCCTTTGACAGACAGGCCAACCTTAGCAATAGCCTAATCCAAGATTCCTGAAGACATAACCAAGCAGTGGTCCTGACATAAGAAAGCATAAGGAAATTAAGAAAACTACAGAACAGCAAACATTCAGGTACAAATAAACCTATCCAGTGGTCTAGAACACAAACACAGTATCAATTGCATCAACAGGAGTGTGCATAGTTATATCTCATTTTATCAACTGTAATTTACTTTAATTTAAAAAGATATAGCAAAAACCAACTAAAAATATGTAAGATTTAAGATTTTAACTTTTTTTAGGACAATCAAAGCACAAAGAAAACAATTAGACTAATTTTAAGGATTCACATTTTAAGGACCAAAATGCTTTCACAGATGTGAGTACCTACCTGTTTCTTGAGACGGGAAATTGGATGAAATCGAGATTGGTAGCAACTTGCACAGTTCATCAGTGGTTTTATGACTATATGTTCCTGATTTACAAAATCACAGACAACACACAATTATCATACACAGACCCAGACTTATTCCTCATTTTATGCGATCCACCTATTGCTCTGACATCAGTAAAGACTTCCAAATATGTGAGGGCTGAAAGAACTAATCAGCACAGTGAGTGGTTAAAGCTTAATTTCACACATTTTACCTATGAAACCTGACAGCAGCTGACAGAAAAGCAACCAGGTATTCTCATAACGCAGCAGCATGCAATACTTCTTGAGAAACTAAAAAGAGTAGCAACTAATGAGCAAAAGATTTATTTCACAGGTTGCTTATGGTATTGAAAGAAGTAATCCCAAATATAAACAGGAAAATGGGGAGAGCAAATATAATAATCACTAATGTTGAGAAACATATTGCTAGACAAAAAGTGTTTACAAATTCACAGTATAAGTATGGATACAAACAACATTAGCAAGCCACCATTATTTACAATGTCTTGGAAAAAGAAAATCTCAATAAATACATACCTCAGTGGATGAGCTACAGCTGTTATACATACCTTTTGGATAATTCAGCAGATAAACAGGCTAGGTATCAATACAATTTGACAAAATTAAGTGGAATCACTACAATTTATGGATTAACCATGTGAATAAGGACTGGTTAAGACAATAAATTAGGCACATCAAGAAAGGGTAATCTTTTGGAAAACTTTCTGTACTTATTTCACTACAAAACTAGGCAAAAACATACTTTCACGATTTTTTACTTTGATGAATACTTCATTTCCACAAAAAGCAGCTCTCGAGTAAGATTCAGTCAAACTCTCTAAAATCATATTTGGCATCCAAAACAACTGAAAAAAAATCTTCTGAGAACATAATACTGATCCCTACCTTAAGAGAAAACATATTCTCATCTGAGAATCTGCAGAGAAGAGTAATTGCAAATGCAACTATCTGATTTGCTACTTCTCTGGGAAATGCTTCTAGATTGATTTCTCCGTGGCTTAAACGATCTCTTACACGTGGACCCTCCTGGTGGTTCAAGAAATCCCAAAGAAATTCCTGTGGAAACATACATCAAGTGTACAGAATTGTATTCTATGTGTATTCACACAGAATTGAATATATCCAGTGTACAGAATACCCCTGAAAGACAGATATGTGATCATGTCTATAGGAAAGGGGCTTTCAGATATTCAGAAAAAAAGAACAATGCAAACTATACTTGTAACAAAAAAAAAGGGGAAAAAATGGTGCAACTTATCCATCTTGGTAGCTTCTGAGGAAATTCAAAACTAACATACATGCTAAATTCTGATAGCTAACAACAGACTTCCTTCCTTTGTGTCCCAAGCCTTCTACAACCCCACTGCCTCTGGCAACAGGACAGTAACCTCAGATCTCCCCTATACTCTCTAAAGATCTCTAAATTCAACACCTCTAGTTTTCCTGTTCACTATCTGTTTGGGTAGTAAGATGCAGAATGTGCTCTGCAGGTTTGAGCTATATTTTTTTGCCATCTGCCCAAATAGTAGAAGATGTGTCCCAGAAGCAATCAGAAATAAGTTTGAAATTTTCCTTCACGCAGCCATCAGTTCCTCTTCTGCTCTATTTTGCTGAACTTCAGAAATCTAAAGAAAAGTATCTCCAAGACATCTATATTTCAGAAAGAAAGGTAGTCCTATATCCTAATTCAATATAGCTTGCGAGATACCACCTTGTATCATTCCCAATGAAAAAGACTAACAAGCTTCTGGTTCTAAGGTGCTTGATACAAGCTATATGAAATAAATAAATATTAGGTATGCTCATAAAGACATTACTAAACTAAAACACAAACAAATGAAAACAAGGAAAAAAAAACAAGAAAAAAAACACAGAAAACTTTCAAAACACTTGCCATGGCAGGCTCCTCAAGAACTACAGGTAGTTGGTTGACTTCTTCATTATCCAAATGCTTTGCTAGCATCTAAAAAAAAGTATTTTGAATAGAAACTTACTATATTAGTGAAAGCCAAATAAGCAAAGAAGAAATATCAACTAAAGTAATTAGTTTTCCTAATTTTATGCTATTACTTCTGCCACTCTAGAATCAAAGTCCCTAATTACTACTCACAATTTGAGGTAACTCAAACAACTTGTAAAATTGAGGATTTCTGCTTGCAATATTTATTTGTATTTATTCTGAATAACTGAATCTAGGAAAAATGACAGAATGTTTGTTTCTGTGGAGTGAAGAATTTTAAGATAAAAACATTTAGAAGAAAATATTCCGTTTATTACAATATGTATTAATTTTGATATTTTCTGGAGGATTTAAAATTTAAAATGTTTACTGTCTATTATTTTTTATTTTGAAAAAAGTTAGAAATAATGTCTTATTCAATACAAGAATGTGCATTCTGGACTGTAGTAACAGGAAACGTGCATGTGCTTAAATTCTGACATTGATATATATTAAATTTAAAAAAAATAAAAATCACAGTACCTCATCAAAAGTGGTGTAGAAAGCAGAAGACTAGAACAAAAGACAATTAATATTACTTGATTTTCAAACAAAGTCAAATAACTAGACATGTATATCAAACTTTTATTTATTCATTTGCATGATATACCAGAGGTGAACGAATAGCAAAAAAGGTCCCTTATGAATGAAAAAGGGACTTTTGGATTTTAAGCTGAGTTTTTTAAAATAAATATATCATGGTCTACTTTCCACCCTAAACTACTGTTTCTGAACACTAACCTTCAACTGCTTTTTCAGTTCTTTTTACTGGCAGACATTTAAAAAAAATTAAAGGCATTCATAAATCTCAACTGGAAATTTTTAAATAATTTTCTACAATTGACTGAAATTTTTTGAGGTAAATCTGTGAAATATTTTGGGGATAAATCTGTAAATGTTTATAGACATCATGCTTCTAGAATAACTATTTTGCAAGTATTGTAAGCACTAAATCATAATTGACTTTAGACAGAAATTTTACCTCAGCTGTTAGCAAACGATTTGGACATTTATTAGTTGTAGTGAAGAGCAATCTAAGTCCAGCTTCCAGCTGAGGAAGTAAGAGAATCACACTGTCAGCATATCTGAAAAATTAACAGAGATATCCAGTTTTTTTCTCCATTGAGCCATTTCAGACTTACAGTCTCAGGCCAAATGACCTGGACTAAAATTCCCTTGTAATGCACTTTGTAAACAAACAAGTGACTACCTGTGCCAAACATAAACCGAACCACTGAATACAAGCTCAGAGGCTAGAATAACTTACAGAAAGGTGAAGCATGGGAGAAAAAACCAAAACAATACACTTTTTTTAAAAATTCAAAATGTTAATATGCAGAGATTTATTTCCCTTGCTTTGTAAATCTCTCCTTTGTTGCTACATCTTGAACAGTTCTTTTTAGGGTTCAAAATATAGTTTATAGCCTTATTTGGCACAAAACAAAGTGATAAGTTGAGAAACTTTCTGAGGGATCACCGTAACAATGCATAACGATATATCGTTATGTAACAAACTTAGTAAAAAGCTTTGGAATCCGTGAATGCAGATATATAAATATAAAATATATTATTCTAAATAGAATATATTCTATTAAAAAATAATTTAAAAATTTTGACTTACCTGCTTTGCTTGAAAGCTGTTAAAGCAGCAATCCAAAATGGTAACATTGTTTTTAATGCAAAACTGGACAGTTTTACAAGCTCTTCAGCTATGGAAAGTGTTTCATTATTAAGATCTAAAAGTTAACAAAACAACATTGAAAAACTACATATAATCTCTAGTTTACTAATGCATTCTTAGTATTTCACTGAAAATAAATTATTTCAACATTTGTAAAGGGAGACTTAAAAGTTATCCAATTTATTTTAACGATGCAGGTTCAACAGTAGCCATATTTAGGATCAGAATCTGAGTATTTAAGATTGCATCTGTGGTGATAATATAAAATTACAGAGTAAAAACAGTTAAAAAGTCATGTTTGCTTTTTATTGAGATTAAAACACTACAGCAACTGGACTCAGCTTCTGTGGAGTTTTTTTCCATCTACTTCAAATACTTTTAAAAAGTGTAATATAAATGAATCATTTCAATCCAGTCAAAATCAGAACAGTAGTACGAACGTTTGAACATGAGCACATTGTTCCTACTTTATCAATTTTCTGTGTTGACATGTAGCATATTAACACTTCATAATTCCATGCTACCATGTAATGAAACTCACACTTATGCATTCACATTTTAAATGTCTTATCCAAAAGAAAGCTTAAAATGGTAAGCGGGACTTGACTGCAGTTGGTGTTTTCGCAAAGCAAATCAACAGCTATAGCATTTATACTACAAATTATTGAGATGTTATCAGCTTGATTTGGTTCCCAAAAGCCCTGTCTCAGTTCCATGGACAGATGTTCCACTGGCAAACTGAATATATAGCACAAATTGACTCATGACCACCACTGACACCAAGATTTCCCATATGCTGTTGTTGACTTAAAAATTTAAGTAGGAATAAACAAAATAAGGTCTGCAGACAAGGAGATGAGATGGTTTTAATCTGACTTCAAGTGTTTCCCTGAGAAAAGCGCTAGTATACTGAAGATTTATCACCATCCTTTACTTTGTTTCAACACCATCTTCCCTGTAAGACTCAGGGCACTCCTGCTGGGGACCCTTGCAGCTGGAACCCATTGTTTCTGGAAGAAATTAGGTTTTGTAAAGGCAAACTAGATGACTGTTACATGAAATGAACTCTCATAATCAAAAAAATGGAATATACGGTTGAAGTCTTTTAGAAGCAGTCATGCTTCACGTTTCAACATATTACAATTATTTTAGAACACAATATTTTTTGATTCAATAGCTAATGTAACTGTCTACATATTAAAAAGCTGTCCTACAAGCATGACTGGTTCATCTTATGACAGTATATACACATGTCTCAGTTAAGATTTAATCCTGGAACTCTGGAAAATGCATTATTATCAATAGCGCTTTTGGGCAACCAAACAATAGCAAATATAAGATAATAAAAAACTTACTAATATTTAAATACTTGCCTGGAAATACATCAAGCTCCTCTAAGCTAACGAAGACCACATAAGGTCGATGTAGTAAAATGCATTTAGTTTGCAAAAGATAAGTCTGCAACAACTGACCCAATCCTGCAGTTAAAAAAAGCAGCATAGCACAATATCTAGGGAGAATAACACAATACATTAGAATAGCTTATACAAAGAAATCTTTTATAAAGAATCAACACTTCTGAATTGGGGCCGAAGCATTTTTTTCACTCTTTCAAAGAACACCCAAAAATAACACTCCTCACATGAGTAGGGGCACTTAATAACTAACTGCATTCACAAGCATAAAAAAAAAATTAAAGACTAGAATTAGGAAAAAAGCATAACTGTATTCTCTGTTGGTTGCTGTCGCTCCTCCTTCTACCCCAGTCTTTTGTTCCAAGTTATTCCTCACCGCCCTGACAGAACTTCAAAAAAAAAAGTTAAGCTTTCTTGCTTAACAGTACAAAAAACTCCGGTCCTAATAATGGCTGAAGTATTCTACAGAAATCCATTTCCAAAGAAGCAACAGCAGCAGGGGAAATCTATCAGGATACTGACTGAGCCTTTGGGACTATTTTTTTTTTTTTCCAAGAGAGAAGCAAGTTTTACCACTTTTCAAGAACTTGCAAGTCTGACTGGTAAGAAAATGAGATTTTTTTTTTTTTGAAACTTACTTGGCAGGAATTTCTTGTGGGGATGCAAATCCATGCCACAAAACATTACGAAGATTCAGACCATATGGAGATCCAATGAATATCCTCAGTACATTCATCTAATTAATAAACAAAGTAATTACTGCATGAAGAAATCTATTTTTTGTTATCTTTCTTACTTTTATTATCTTTCCCCAACAGAAAACTTCAGAAGTTATTCAGAAACTACAATATGTACTGTCAAGATGACTGGCTACAGCTTGTCACAGTGACAGAAACTCACTATTTGCAATTCCCAGCATTCTCTGAAATTGTTCAGCTTATTTGTACAGGCTATAGAATATAATAGGGGACAAACAAAAATATCTATTGGACATTCCAAGCAGTTATGACAGGCAAAACAAATGACATAAAGTATAGCTCTTACTTCTTGTAGTATAAATCCACATGATTTAATGCAAATTAACATAAAAATACAGAATTTGCATTCAAAGCTGTATTTCCAGATCACTATCAAACAAAATGGGAAACTTTGGTTTATTTTTCAATTGTAAGAATTTAAATATTCCATATGCCATAAAAATTTAAATAATCTTTGTAACACTACTAGACTGGCTAACAACACAGGCTTACACAGTTCACACCTAATGTTTTGTTCTAACAAAGAACATGCTCTTGTAAGACTGCATGTGGAAGATCCACCTACTCTGTTTAGACAAGAGTGTATATGTCATCAGAATTTTGTGGGTTTTTTTGTTTGGTTGTTTTTTTTTTTTTTTTTGTTTTGGTGGTGTTTTTTTGTTTGTTTGTTTTGTTTGTTTTTCAAATTAGTTGTCTCTATTTTGAAAAATTTTGATATGCTAAATTTTATAAAGCATCTGACTACATTGGTGGTGAAGAGGAACACAGTTTATCAGAAACAGTTAGTGCAAGATGTGTATTTTCAAGCAGTGCAACTCAGAATGAGGCAGATGAACTCTGCTAATCACCTGCCAGATACGTGAAATTTTACTTATGTTGGTTTTTCATACAGGAAGGGAAATAAGAACTTACAACCTTGTTTTTAAAACTATTTATTTTACAATATTAACTCTTTTTAAAAATCATAGACCCCCAGACTGTAACGTGTATAAAATGAAAATAAATCTACAATATAGAAAATCTGCAAACTCTTCAGTACAAGCAAAGGCTACGCTTGGAAAACTGACATTTGGTAGGAAGAAAACCAGATCAGTATTTGTTACTTATTTCAAAAGTAGGCACTTACTACAGCTTGTCCAAAGACAACTGCTAGCTGCTCAGATGCAAGCAAGTCTCTTAGAAGGAAAGGGCAATCATTACCCTTAAGTAAATATACCTATTAAAAAAAAAAAAAAACCAAAACAGATAACATAAACAATTTAGTATACTTCTTTGTATTTCAAACATAACTTGACTATTTCACCCAGTAACCATTTTCATTATTGTAAAAACACTAGTCAAACAAAACACACCAAGTCCTTTAAAAAGCTTGAAATTCTGTAATTTAATGACAAATTAAAATTTAGGCAATGTATCAGAAAGGAGTGAATATCCTACTTAATGTTTCCATAGTTAGGCTTTTCACAGTGTCTGTACATGTACTGCTCTTCTCTTCCAAAAAAAAAACCAAACCACAAAAAACATTAAGTACAACAAGAACACGTAATTATGGGAATAAACTCTACCATGGACACGATATTTCATTCTTACCCTAGAAGTCTACAGGGTCTGTCAGTGTTAGAGGGAGGAGACTTGTGGTTTGTCTTGTGATTCATGTCATTCCTGAAACTAGGTTTGTCCTTGTTGGGCAATCTCAGCATCTCTGTTTTCAACTGCTATCATGCCTTCTGTTCTTTGTATTCTCCCTGACAGTTTTTTCCAATTTTTGGTAATTTTTTGTTACTTCAAATTTACCAAGCCCCCTTCTTGGGCAGATTTATTTGTGAGTTAGCCGATTACTCCGTTATTTCCTTCTCCAGAGCTCTTCATACATATTTAACAACCAGCTATTTTAACGTATCTGGGCCTAATACAGCCCAGCAGCAAACACTCTTGGGATAGCTGTTGCTTCCTTCTCTCTAGGAAAAAAGCTATTTAGCAGGCAATTTTTTCCAACTACATACCACTCCTCAGAGAAGTTACTACACCATCAGATCTTTTGTGGAAGCTATGTTGCTCACTGTTTCAGTTAAATAAATCAAAGTAACAAAGACCTACTAATGAATCAAACTCTTTTTTAATTGAATTGCTTAGTAACAGCACCGATACAAGGAACGGTACCAGCACAGGTGAAGGAGCTGATGTTTTCCCTAGCACAACTGGATCCAGAATAGGACCTCTGTCTGACTCAAAATGCACCTGGGCTATTAGTGTACTACTACAGTACAGGTTAATCTCACTTTTTCAATATGCAATTAAATCCAAGAGCTCATTCCCATCTTATAAAGCCAAATCTGTAATAGAGTCCACATCTTGGTACTTACATCACCCAAGGCTCGCTCCAAGCATGATGTTAGTTTCATTAAGCTGAGAGCAACTTCTGTAGTTTGTGCGTATTGTAAAACATCAAATACTTCAAGAAATACCTGTATGATTGGGGGGAGGAAGAATGTTGTGTTAAATATTCAGAAGGAAAAATCAAATTTTCAAAAGCACAGAGAAACCTAAATATTCCTCCATGACAGTTGCTATACAAATGTAGACAGAAAACTGTGCCAAGGAGATAAAAATATAGACACCTGGAGAGAAATTTCCCTAGAGCACCTCTCGATAACTAGTGCCCTACATATATAAAAATTATCCACAATAACTTTATAAGGTAAAGCTTGATACTAGGCACAGATTATTAGAAAATAAAAATCCTACGATCTTACGTTAGAACAGGCCTAAAGCAACTCATGTTCTCTAAAATATAATTACAAAGTCAGGGAAACTATAAGCAAGCACATAACAGAGACAGACAATTAGTTACAAATTCTAAACATTTTGGTTCATGGATATCTCTTCTTTGTTCTTACATTAAACATTCTACAAAGGGTTTGTGTGCCAAAATGTGAATTGTTAACAGAAATTTCTCTACCTCTGTGCAGTTTGTCCACTGCAACCACGATGCATACTGAATTATGAATTGATCCTTGGTCAGAGATTTGAAGTGCACATTAACAGATTCACATACAGGTCCTAATGATCGTATGCTTTTGATAAAATCCACACTTTGATCTTAAATTGAAAAAGAGAAGGTGATTAGTGTACCAATCTTCCCAAAGGTCCAATATTTTAAAACTCATAAGATATAAAACCTGCTACAGGTGGTGTGCATATTTAGCACAGAGAATTTTATCCAGACTTTTCTAGCACAACTAATTCACTACAATTAATGTCTAGAACACAGATATTGAAAAGTAAAATTGCAGTGCAAAATCAGGTAAGACTGAGCACCTTCTCCAAATAAAACAAAACCAAGCAAACAAAATTAGAAAAACCAACAAAGCCTAAACACAAGAAAATATGGAAGTAAATAGAATCATTACTGTTCTGCTTTTGTTGAAATGGGAAGAACCTACTAGAATTTCTACAGAAATTCCACATAATCAAGTTGGAAGCTAGTGCAGGCTCAGCAGGATAAGTCAAGTTGCACCACTTTCACTCTTTAAAGAACGCAGGTGGATATGGTACCTTACAGAGTGGTATCACTGCTTCATTTTGGTGGGACACTTTTTATAGGAAAATAAATTCTTGTAATTTACTGAAAGATAGTCCTTGAGGCAGAAGTATGTAGCATTTTACCACCTCGGGAAATTAATAACAGAGCTTGCACGATGCAATTTGGCAAACTAAAATTTAGTGAGTTCATCAGGGTATAAAGGGTTTTTTTGGTTAAAAAACACCTTTAGACTATTCTACATAGAGAAGAGAAACCAAATTGTACTTCTGCACAAGCTAGAGTTGGAGAAACAAAACCAGAAGCAACAGTAGGAATACTGATGGCCCCTGAGTGTTTTAAATTTACTGCAAAAGGAATATAAAGAACACAGATGAAGGCAACTACGAGGTTGGAAAGAAGCAGAACTGAACCCCTATGTTACAGGCACATTAAACTAGGAACCAAGATGAAGGCAAACCAGCAGCTACAGATTACACAAACCTTAGGAGCCAGCAAAAGCCAAATAAAAAAGCTCTTTGTAGATATCAACTGTACATACTCTAAATCTGCAGTAAAGCTAATACTGTACTGTAACAAAATGTAACTAAGCTAGAATTACTATCATGTACTGAAATTCTGCATCAGTCTTCAATGTATCATCACTACTACAGCAGGTAAACACCAACCTGATTCAAGGTAACACACATGGTCTGTAACAGCTTGCCAACATATTTCACCGTTTCCAGATAAAATATTGTTAATATCATATGTATCTTTCTTCTCAAATCCAAGTTTGCAAATTGCATAATGCACAGGCTGAGAAAGACAAGTAGTAACCGAGTCTGACAACGCCATCTAGAACAAATACACACAAAAAAAGAATCCTTGTATTAAGAAAGCACATGAGACAAAGAAAATGATTAAAACATACCCATCGCACAGAGAGACGGTAACATGACATCTGTAAACAAGCTGTTAAGGTTTGTAATACAAGTTTAATCTATGCATATGATAAAAGGAACTCTCAACCAGAACCAGCCTGGGAAAACTGAGGGGAAGAACTGCTCTATTTTCATAGTGCCAGGACAGTGTATTTCAGAGTGGCTATATCTACTGAACTGATGACAAGACAGACTGAAGCAAAAGATCCCAGTTTATACATAAATGTTCTGTCTAATGGATGAGCTTGCAGAGAAACTGATGGTACTTCAAGCACAACCAAGAGCTCCAGTCCTTACAACTAGCAAAATCCTTGGAGGGGTGTAGGGGAGGAATACGTGAATTCTGCAGCAATGTTAGTACAGTCTAAGCATTAATGTTATTTCACGTTAACCTAAACAGAAAAACAGACTGATTCAGAAGCACACATTTCAATAAAAAAATTTGCAAGAACAGAACTGCCCATGCTAAGAAGGAAGAAAATGCTTCTTAGTAAAAAAGAACAAACCAAAAAGTCATGCTTTCTCATTAATGAAACAGACAAGAAATTGTTTGAAAACGAAGTACCAAAACAAATAAAAAAAATTCCATTAAATTAAAAACATTTTTTCCTCTTTAATTAGGCGGCAGAATAGACCCTCACAGTGCGTAACTTCTGCATTCATGGTTTCAAGGAGAGATGAGATATTTATATGGGTATTGGCACTGAGCAAGGGTACCAGTTGCTATCGGGAATCCGTATTAGCTGCCACCAGCTTACCTTTCTTCTATGAAAAAAAAAAAAATCTAAAACGTCCATAAAATATCATTCAGACCTTCCCCTTAATTTGCCTTTTCCTCTCCCCTCCGTTTCACTGTCAGGGAGAGCAGGCCAGAGCAAATCCTGCACTAACGCAGCCACCCTTTATTATTATTTATCTAAAACAGGCCGGGCAAGGACCAGGGCTGTGATCTTTTCAGGGAGAGCTCATTAAGCCCCACGTTTCCACTGGCAGAAGCCGGGCAGAGCTGCCCCCTCCCATCTCCTCCCCACCGCACCGCCCTCGGGCCGCAGCGCTGCCCCACGCCTAGAAGGGCCCGCCGGCAGCCCCGAGGCCCCGACCCCTCTGCCGGAGCCGGAGCCGCCCCCGCCATGGCGCCGGTACCTCCGGTACCTCCGTTACCGCCGGCCCCGCCCGCGCTGCGTCACGGCCGGGCCGCGCGGGAAGGGCCCCGGGGCCGCTCCGTGCCCGGCTCCCGGCGCGGCGGGGGAAGCCATGGATAAGCGCTCCGAGGGGACGAAGCCCGCCGCCCCCACGGAGGGAGGAAAGCGGCGCCAGGGCTTGGCCGATAAAGACGCAGTGAGCGGCCGGCAGGGCCAGAGGAAGCGCCGGGGGTTGAGCTGCCGGGGGCTGGCGGCCCCCCGGGCAGGGAGCGGTGCGAGGGCAGCGGGCTCGGTGTGATGCCCGACTGAGGCGGGGGCGCTGGTCCGGGCCTGCAGAGCTTCAGCTGGCAGGGGAGCCTGGGGCTTGGTGTCCTTAGGAAGGGCGGTACAGTGCGTGGGAGAACGTGGGGCTCGGTGTGAGGTTAAAAGTTGTCTGTGATGTAGTGAAAATTTGTATCAGGAAAGCTGTTCGCGCTTGATTGGCGTCCGGCTCATCCCCTTTCTGCTTGGCCAGGTGTCATGCTTACACCTGCCGTGCAGCTGGTGTGCTGGCTGAGGCATTGGGAGGCTGAGCTGTTGCGAAGGTAAAGAGAAGGAAAGGATGGTCCTCCCTTTGGTGATGCAGTCTTTCCAACTTGAGGGCACAACTTCTAAGTTAGAACAGCACCCCTTTTGAAGAAATAAACCAGAACTACTTCTTGTTTAACAGCTATTTTTTTTAAACAGGCTTATTAACAAACAACATTTATTTTGAATAGCAAAAGCCTTTTTCTCTCAGCGTACTTACTTCCACGTGTCCAAAGTTAAGCCAATGTAGTAGTAGTCCAGTAACATAAGAACGGGCTTTTGTTGGTCAAGTAGTCAAAAGTAAAGTCAGTTCTTGAATTTTAGAGATATTTTTTCACAGAGGGTGCAAATAATGTACAGAAATGTAATTGCAACCTTGTGCTAAAACTTGGAATCACAGTGTTTGTACTGTAGTATACAGATGAAGGTTTATTGACTGGCTGTGTAGAGAAATCAATAAGGTTTTTGGTTGCCTCATTAGTAAACAGCTTTTTGCAAATGATAATGGAAACTTCTGTCTCTAATAATGGCAGGTAAACTTTTAAGTAGCAGCATTATTAGAAGTCATGTGCTATAGACATGAATTTTCTTTCATCCATAATGGAAATGGCTGACAATGTTATGACTCAAGCTGAACTATGTTAGCAAAGAATTGCTGTTTGGGTTGTGACATTTTTCACAGGTTCTTTTCTACTCATATGAATAGGAGTGTTCATTTTAGCAGCTCAGGTGGAAGACTTTGCTGGTTTTTCCTCTGTTAGGAGACCTAGGACAAGCATATCAGAGCTGTAGTCATTTGAGACCTAAGCTTGCAGTTAGAAGATAGTAAGTGTCCACAGCCTAAGTGCAAATGTGTTTGCTCTTACATTTTTAGAGTAAATGCTATTCAGAGTTTGCAGTGTTGGGGTGGTATCAATAAACATCCCCAGGCAATTAGGACTAAGGCTGCCAAAATCACTGGTTTTAAGGAACTAGTGTCCACAGCGTTGACAAGGCTAAAGTGTAAGTGATTTCATAGAGAAAAAACTGCATTTCTTATTCTTAAACTACTTGTACTGAAAGATTTGTGAGCCCCTGAGTAGCACATCTCTTCAAATAATTCTCATTACACTTTCATATTATCCACGAGTGTATGATTTTTTTTCCTGCATTCTTAGTGTAAGCCTTGTTTTGTGATGTTATTTCACATTTGAGCTGTTTTCTGCCCTTCTGGGAAGGAGCTGATGATTTTCTCTTATCTAAGTTCTAGCTGTAGTCAAGAAGTGGAACAAGAGGCTAAAGAGTTGGCAAAATGTGAAAGTGGTTCATTAGGAGGTAGTTGGTATGGAAGACCACTGCCTGTAGCATTTGTTATGTCTCTTTGGTTCCTTGTGCTTTTCTGTCTGTCTTATTATAATTTTACAGTTCTGTTTTAAGCCAGCCCTGGAGGACAGCAGGTGACATCTTTTGTCTGCAACATCAGAGTTGCTGCTTGCATTCATAGAGGGACAAATTTTGTTATGTGTGTTGAAGAGAGAATACACAACTGTATGGGGAGAAAACTGGATCTTCAGAGGTCTGCATTTAAGTTCCAAGCAAAATTACAATAATTTGCAGACTGGAACTTATTTTTTCCTTTTTTTTTTTTCCTGGCTTTTTTTTTTTTTCTTTTTTGTTTTAAGAGCAAATTAAGTCATCAATACATAAGCCATTGGTTTAGTAATTTCACAAAGAATGAGGATAAATAAAATGAAGTAGTGAATGAACCAAGTACATATTTTGGGCGTTGTGTAGGCTGCTTGAATTAAAAGCTTGAATTTGTGGTTAACAGTCTTGGATGGATCTGTTAATAGCTATGTGTTTTTACTTGGAAAATGGAGTGGATTCAGGGTACTAACATGATGTGTCTGACTGACTGAGTTTAAATGCAAACTTCTGTTGGATTTTGCTGGAAAAGAAGTCAAAAGGGAGTGGAAGTCAACCACTTCTTTTTTTTTTGGTCAAAGCAGTAGTAGTGTTAAAACAGCCAGAAGGTGATAACCAGTTTCTAGCTTTCTGTGGGTTTTTTGTTAACGTATTCCTAGAGTAATTGTTGGGGTTTTTCCCTCTTAACTGTACACTGTAAAGTATTATTTAAAGACTTTTAAATTTGAAATATTGACATGTAATGTGGACTTTCTTATTAATTTGTACAGATGAAAGGAAAAAAGACACGATCCTATTCTGAAGATTTAAGTGTGGCTCCAGTGGAAGAACAAGCAAAGACAAAGTGCGCTAACACATACAGACTGGAGTCCCGTAATAAATTTCGAGACTGTTTAGTAAGAGACAAAGCTCAACAAATACTAACGGTACAGTATTTTTTAAATTAAGTTTATTTTTAAATTTTTTGCATGATTTCATTGCGAAAGTAGCTTGTCTTGCAAAGGTACTTATGGAACAGGGCAAATTAAACATATGCATATATCCTGCAGTCTTTGAGTTTTGGCACAGAAATATATTTGTGAATGTGCTGCATTTTGGCGAAGTGCAGAAGGGCCTCTGCAAGGCCACTGCTGAGCTTGTTGGGTGCTGTTTACGTGGAGCTGAATCTTCTTAAACTCTTGCCTTTTTTGAAATCAAATTGAGCTACAGCCCAGTTCAAAGTACCCTAATCTGCAAAATCTCCAGTTAGCCAAAGATCATGACCTCAAATTTGTGGAATTCTATTAGTTCTGCTAATATCACATGACCTGCATAAAATATACGTGGTGTTCTTAATGGTCAGACTGCTACATACAAAAATTAAGCAAAAATGAAAGAAAACAATCTGTGGAGATAATACGTAGCTGTTAGTGATACTTTGAATAGTTATAACCAGCTCTTTTTAATTTTGCTGTTTGGAAGACATGCCTTGGATATTTGGAACTGGTATTTGTAGCACTCTTTTCCTGTGAGCTGAGCCCTAACGATAGAGAAGAGTACACTCCTCATTGTTAAATGTAGATTGGCTGGACAATTCGCTGGACACACATCAAATGTGTGTCCCTTTCAAAAAAACAGATGAAACATTTTAGCATAAAAGTAGCACATCCTTTGCTGTTTGGGAGTATCATCTGTATTGACTGTTCTACTTACTAGTTCTTCTTGTGTTCTTGTAAAGAAAATGACTGTAAAAGGTTTTTTTGCAAAAGACTACCAGGATAAAAACTAAGATCTTTCAAAATTGTTTTTGATAGAGTAAACTTCAACATGCCAAATACGATGGAGTTTCTAGTCCCTCCTTGTGTGCTTCAATCTCAGAAGAAATATTAAAGGCTGTGAAGGAATTTGGCTTTGACCGTTATAAATATGTGGTATCAGTGCTAATTGTGGAAAAGACAGATCAAGCAATGATTGTAAGCAAACATTATTCATAATATGTTTTGCAAATTGAAAACAATAAGGTACGAATAGATTAGTGAAGTGGTCCAAGTCAACTTTTTTTCTCCTAAGGAATATGTTTATTCCAGCCATCAGTTCACAGAATTTAGCTTTGAAAATAATTTTGTCAAAAAAGCTGAGAGCCCAGTAAATGGTCACAAGACTAGACTAACCTGGAGGTGGAGGAGTGAGGGACATGACTTCTTAGTTCTATATGTTCCCAAAACTAATGTCTATTCACATAGGCATGTTCTAGTGCTTTTTAAGGGATGCTCTTAGCAGTATGCTAAAGTGCAACAAGTGAACATGAGAGAGAATTGGGGGTTAGTGTAGAGATTTTTGGATCTATAGTGGGAGCTTTACTGTGAAGCAAGAACATATATTTAACATTGAATAGGAATTGTTAATTTTCACTCAACTTATGCATTGTTGTTACTAGTTGTAACTCTCATAATGCAATTAGATTTGCATTTAGATAATGCTATGTGTTCTTTGAAAAATAAATAGTAAACCTGTGCTGTATATATATTCACAAATAGCTTTTTCTGTTTTTTTCCCTTTAGGTTGCCAGCAGATGCCTCTGGGATGTTCAAAGAGACACTTGGGTTTCAGCTAAATGTGAAACTGAAACGTTTATTGCCCTGGCTTTGGTAATGGCTTGTTATTACGACTAATACTTTGAAAGCCACAGATGGATTCGTGCATCACAGTACGTGGTACATTTGAAAATTTGCAGAGCATCATTATTTTAGTATTCGTTTTTGTCCTGTTGCTGTTGGCACATTGAAACTGACATACAGTTGAGATAATTTTCCTCTTCTTTTCTCTGTTAAGAAAAAAAAAACAGCCCCCAAAAAACCGCTTTGGAAATGTTTATGGTTGAGTACATATGGGTTTCATCTGTTTAATGCTCTGCTGTGGAAGTGAAAGCAGCTGGTGTTAAGGCCAAACATTGGAAAATTTTGAATGTTGCTTGTCTGTTGTTGTGCCTAGGACTGTTAACCAATGTTTACACAAAATTGCAGGTATCAGTTTTCTTAAAAGCATGCTTTTTGTAAGAAAAGGCAGTATTCATCTTTTACCTAGTTTTCTTTATGATCAAATGCTAGTCTGCCTAGGAACCTGCCTGAGAGGGAAGCCGTGTTTTGCAGTTCTAGATACTTGTGCAAATTTCCAGTCTTGCCTTGAATTAATTGAAAGTTCGGTCAATAGGTTTCCCAGGCCTTAAGCTTGGGTCCAGGGTTCAGGTTGGTGGACAGGTACTGCACTGAACATGTTGGTCACTTCGGTCTAGGGGCCTGCGGTGGCACTGGCGATGGGGTCAGTAACGAGGGTAACTGGTCCATAATAACTGGCAAGGGCAGCAGTGATTGTATTTTGATAAATAAGGCACAGGCAAATCTGTGAAGTGTGTAGACATCAGCTTTTGGACCTGCCGTGTGTGGAGATCGCGGTTGGTGCTTGTACCATTTCCATTGTATCGCTGGCAGCTGAGAACAAACGCGGACGGGGCGGCGGTGCTCCCCACCGCCCGCTTGGCCCAGATCGGGTCCGAGCGTGTTTGGAGCCGCGCAGGGCGCGCCGCGAGGGGCGGTGAGCGGCCCGAGGGGCGGGTGGGCGCCCACCCGCGATGCGGGGGAGCCGGTGTGAGGGGCGGCGCCGGGCCGGGGCGCGGCCGTGCGCTTTGTTCGCCGGCATGGGGGCCGTGCGCGCCCACGGGGCCCGGCTGCGCGCGGGCGGGCGGGCGCGCGCGCCGCCCCGGTCCCCGCGCCGGCGGGACGAGGGTCTTTCCCGGTGGCGAGGAGGGAGGGCTGTGCTTCAGCTCCGGAGAGCGGGACCGGGAGCGGGACGCGGCGCTGCCCCGCGCGCAGCCGGCTCGGCGCGACCGCGCAGCGGCGGGGAACGGCCGCACGCGCCCTCCCTCCTCGCAGGGGCGAGCGCGCTCGTGGCGGCTCCTCCGAGTGCGCCCCCCGCCCCCCGTACCCCCCTCCTGCGGGGGCTGATGGTTCACAAACGTAGCTCGTCCCCGGCTGACGTTCCCGGAGACGGGAGCCTGGCGGCGGAGCGGAGCAGCCCGGCCCTCCTGGGTGCCAGCTCCCGCGCTCGGCGCTGACCACCCCCCAGGGGCGATGCTGCCCCTCCGCCCCGCGCTGCTGCCCAAGCGCTACCGCGGCGGCTCGGCTCCGCGCTCGCGGCCGGGCCGCGCGGCCGCCCGAGCGGCGGCGGCAGGAGCAGGAGGAGGAGGGCGTGGCGGCGGCGGCAGCGGCGGCGGGTGCCCGGCGGCGGTCCCGCGCGGCGGCGCTGGCGGCGCCGGTCCGGTCCGGCTGCCGGTCCGGGTGCCGGTCCGGCGGCGCGGGCCGGGGTCGCCGCGGGCTGCCCGGAGGGGGGCGGAGCAGGAGCCGGTGCGCCCGTGCGCGCGCTGGCCGGTAGGGGCCGCTGTCGCTCCCCGCAGGGCGCGGGGGGGCGGGGCCGGCGGGCGCGGCGCGAGGCCCGGTCGCGCGGCGGCGGCGGCGCTGCTCCTGGCCCAGCCGGCGGCGGCCATGGCGGCCGTGCTGTCCCCGCGCCTCTGCGACAGCGACCCCGCCACGCCCGGCGCGCAGTCCCTCAAGGTGAGAGCGGGCGGCGGTGGCCGCGGGGCTGCGGCGCTACGGCCGCCTCCGCGGGAGGCCTCGCGCGGCTCCCCCTCCTGGGCGCTGAACCTCTCCTCGCCCGCCCCGGGCTCGCTTCACTCTCGCCGGGGGAGCAGGGCGGCCTCCCGCGCCCGAAGTTCGGGCCAGGGTGCTGGGCCGAGACTGAGGGTCCCGGGGCCGTTTTGCTTCCGAAAAGTCCTTCGGCGCCTTTCCGGGGGCGGTGCGGTAGCGCCGCAGCCGGGAAAGTTTGGGTTCGGCCGCGGGCAGTTCCGCGTTGGCCCCCCCGGGCTGCACCGGCGCGTCCCGGGAACCGCGGGCGCTTGTGGCACCCAGGACTCGCGGGGCAGATCGAAACACATCGCTTTTTGAAACACATCTCGGGTAGTTCAGGCTTCCCGATCGCGTAATAAAGGATCGTTACGTCGATGTTATAATTAATAGACCTACCGGGAGTTTGGAACGTCACCACCTTTCCTAAGGAAATTTAAGGGGAGGAAGGGGGCGGATTTTTGGCAGTGTTTGACTTGTCATGTAAAGAAAGCCACAGAACTGTCCCCTTTTTTTTTTTTTTTTTTTTTTTTGAACTGTAGGAGTGTTTGAACAGCAGCGCGTCTTAGATTGCACCACCAATGTTTTCACTTCTGCTAAGTCCTCTGCAACAAACTTATTCGTGAGCTTTTGTGATTGAATTTGCTGAAGTTTTAAACAATAAGTAAGCGAAATTGCAAATAGAGGACATTCATCTCTCCTGTGGTAGGGTACTCACTGTTTTAGCACTACAGGATTTAATAAAAGAAAAATTACAAAGTGAAAGTAGAAATTAATTTGAGGCACTTCCACCAAACTGTCAGATTGAGATCTGTCTTTCTATCTTTTAAAGATGTTTTGAAGTCTCTTGGTGGTTTTGCTATAGCAGAGCATTGCTTTGGTCCTGTCTAGCTGTTCAGAAGGTTTGGAGTGCATTAATATTCTGTGTGGGAAGTAGGGATGAACTGCCGATGAGACATAGCTGTGTCAGAAAATACTCTAGTGCAGTATTGTTTTGTTTGGAGATTGCTGCTTAGTTTGTCTACCTGAGTTTATACAGCAATGCTAGAAAATGGTGTTACTAGTAAAACGAGTGGAGATGTTGCATTCCTGATTCTTTAGGATTGACTGCATTAAGAAAACAGTTTAACTATATTTTGCTTTTCACTTTTTATTATTGTGTGAATGATATTCTTCTTGCTCCTTAACAAGAAAGAAAATTTGTGAAAAATTGTGAAAAAACAAGAAATAAATCAAAAATACACAAGACAAATTCTTTTTCCCAATGACCTGTCTTGATTATAGCATTGTGAATTGTTACATAACCAAAGTAATGTATTCTCATTTGCTGGAATATTTCTAAATTGATATTTCAAGTCCTATGATATATAATGCCTACTAGAATGAAAGACGTTAGCAAACAAACCTAATAATCGTTCTTGGCATTATTAAATAAGTAAGTATGATTAGGCTTAATCCACTTATTTCTAACAGGTTAATTCTTCTTGCTTAAACTTTTCATGGAAGTGTGATTCTTTCACACTGCTCCACTTTAGAAATTCAATTACTTGAAGAACTGTCTTGTTCTTGACTGTACTACCTGTTACAATAGGCAATTTACTTGGAGTTTTTTGCTTTCTATATCTCGATTTTGATCAGACAGGGTTAGTTACTAAATGCTTTGATGATGCAGGTAGGAGTTGCATAGCATTGTTGGACAGCAAAGCAGTGACAAATACAAGATCAGCTGAGTCACTGTCTTGATTTTACAGAATTCTTTGTTTTGTTTTGGTCTTTTTTCTCCTCTTCACCCCTCATCCCCCTTTCTTTATATAGATCTCATGAAATCTGAATAGTGACACCTGTAACTTAACTTCTGAGTGTTTCCTTGTAATAGCTTTTTTCTGTATCTGTTGCAATATGAAGTTAGGTTTTTTCTTTATTTTTTTTCCTCACAAAACACAAGTCTTTGCTCCTTGCTGTAATGATACTTTTTGTAAACTGAAAACCATTCCTTTAATTTTAACTGTATGCATATAAACTCCTGTGCTGCTTTCAGTAATATTTTCCCTGATTTTAGAGTATCAGCTCTCAGCAAGGGCTTGGTGTTTTTGCTCTGCATCTGCAGTTTTTGAGAGCTAGTCTAATAAAGTTCCAGAGATAGGAATTATGGACTTGGTGGTCAGAGCTACAGCTCTGTCTCTTTAGTCCACCTGCACAACAGGTGAGAAACCACCCAACTGTACCTCTGTGCCAACATGTCTTCTGCAGCTGGTTTATAGCAAAGAATAATTTGCTGTGTAAACTGTCTTATGAGTTGTTTGTTAAGAGTGCATAGAACAGCTTAGGAGTTCAGGTATGTTTAAATTGTGGATTGCCTTGCAATATTTTGTGATGTTTTACATCATCTGCTGAATAATCTTGTTTTTTTTTTTTTTAATGTTTACATTCATTTGCATTTCAGGATGACACAGAAGAAAATTCCAATGATGGCAGCCAGCCATCCAAAAGACGGCGTATGGGCTCAGGGGACAGTTCTCGGAGCTGTGAAACTTCTAGTCAAGACCTTGGGTAATACCATTTTTTACAGTTCCGACTTTTTTCATTCCAAATTTTGTTGTATTGTTCAATATGCTTAAATAAAGCTTTTTTTTTTTACTTTTGTATTCTTCATACATCTTCCTGAATTGAGGCAATGTTCTATGAATAGTTAGCTGTCTTTTGCTCCCAGCATGTTTTAAAACATTTTATTTTAAAATGCTACAAAAAGTGCTGCATCTGATACATAGTCAGAAACACAGCTGACATGTTTTTAAAACATTGCATGCTTCTTGAATGAATTTTGACACTGTAGTAGTTGCTTTTCCCGGTGTCTTCTCCACTAGAATAAATATCACTTTCTTCATGTTGTGTCTCTTAGCATGCTGATGAATGGAAGTTGGGTGTAATAAAGTAACTGGGAGTAACAAAGTGACTTTGAAATGAGTTAACGACATTTAGTGTTCTGAAGTGCTCGTCCAACTTTGTAGTTACTGTTCATTGACATATAAATAGGAATTATTGAATTTCTAGAAATGTAAATATTGCTCTTGAGGATTCTTGTGATTTGTTCTAACATTGTTCTTATACTCAGATATAGTTATTTTCCTGCTGAAAATTTGATAGAATACAAATGGCCACCAGATGAAACAGGAGAATACTATATGCTTCAGGAGCAAGTCAGTGAATATTTGGGTGTAACTTCCTTTAAAAGAAAATATCCAGGTATTTATTTTTCAAGTTCTTCTACAAAACTGTGCCTTTAAACAGATGTAGTCTGTGTCTCTTTGATTATAGTATGAGCCAACTGTTTAAAAAAAGACCTAGCAAAAGCATACCTGGGTTATATATGTTGTACTTTTTGGTTATGCTACTGGTGTATTGGAAATGTATCCTATGGTATCCTATAAGACTTTTTGGCATTGCCACTAAAAATTTTTAAACAAGTCTGATTTGGGGATTAGATCATCAAGTACCTTTTGAAAATTACCTCAATTTTATTTTTAAGTATTTTGTTGGTCATTTCTTACTATATAACTATATATTCTGTTTCCTGAATTGTGGCAACATTTCTACAATGTGGAAGAATTTTAAAACTAATTGTGGAGGTTCTCGTATTTGAGCCTTCATTATTCAGAATTGTTAAATCTGGATCTTCTATCATGGAATTTATTTTTAAAAGGCATAGTGAAATTAAAAAGAACTTTAATGCTTGTTAATAATTACTGCATCTGAATTCATATATCAGTTTTCTTTAGTTTTCCGAAAATCGTAACAGTAGGCAGGGTACTCAAGAAAATTGACAATGGCCCTACATTGTGTATTAAATTTAAAATTATTTTATAAAATTACAGTGTTTGTTGCAGAAGTAGTATAATACACACTAGCTTCCTGGAAACAAAATTAACAAAATGCTTTGACAATGTTTATGGAGGAGTTTGAGTAACTGCGCACATTTTTATTTCTCTTGTTTTCTTTGGAGATTTAGAAAGGCGAGATCTGTCTCACAAGGAGAAACTCTACCTCAGAGAACTAAATGTTATCACAGAGACTCAGTGCACACTAGGTAAGAAAACAAATGTTAGAGTCCTTGTTACAGTGTAAAAACTATGACACAAAGGAAAAAGGAAGAAAGAAAAGAATTGCATCATTCTCAAATGAAATCATAAATTATGAAATTAAAACTGGTTTATTATTAATTTGGTAAGTTGGCCATGAAGTATCAATATTCCAGATTTATTATAAAAAAAATACTTTGTTTCTATTCTAATTACTTAGAAGGGATTTTACTAGCTTTTAAATTAAAATTCTAGAACCTTTATTCCTTAGGAAAGAGACCACCATAATTTTTCAAATAAAATTACATCAGTCTTGTTTTGCTGAACTGGTTGGAGCTCAGCAAACATCAGTGTTTCTTAGATGGTTCCACTTCTATGTTAGAAACCAGAAGAGTGTATATTAAGGCACTTTAATGTACTTGAAATGGAATGATGTAATTAATGAGGCTTACATTGAAAAAGCTTGAAGAATATTTTTCTTACTCTGCTAATATATGTGGCTTGGACATGTTAGAGTTTAAATGATGCCTGCCATATTTTTTTCTGTATATCATGGGTAAATGTGTACATGTAATGTTTGTGTAAATGTAATGTCATTTTAAATACTAACAATCTTTGGTATACCACCTTTATTTCTCACCTGCCACCTCTGTATTTATTTTTTATAACTTGACTATACAGAAGAGACCATATCTAATTTTTATTAATAGAAGTAAAATGTTATATTCTGTCTAATATATCCAACAGAGATGTGTGCTGAGTCAACTATCCGTATTTTTAAGGTTATATTTATAACCAGTGGTAGTAACATAAGTCATTCCATTCCATTGCCTGTGTTTGGAGATTAGTTGTGTTGGAACCTCTAAAGGAAGAGTTCTGCATTGTGGCTGCAAACTGAGGCATTCTGACTTATGAACTTCAGATGGTTTAATTGAGAGTCAGGAGTCTGTGAGCAGTTTGCTACTCTGAATTGCCCTCACGGTGATTCTTTCTTGATTTGGATGAGATGTTATGTAAACCTCATAATTTCAGTAAAGGTCCTGTAGGTTAATGAAACTAGGATTTGATCAGAGTTGGAAACTGAAACTAACAGTTCACAAGGTCTCGTCTAGAACAAAGGTTCTGCCCCACTGTGGAGTTCTAAGTGGGTGGTTGAGTCAATTTGAAGGGGTCTGTAGCTATGAGAAAGAAATGGCATGAGCCTTGGCTCCTTGGGTACAGGCAAAGTCGTAATCAGCCTTGAAAGCTAAACTGCACAAGTTCACTCCCACTTGAGAAGCATTTTATGCAGCAGGTTGTTGTCTTTAGCCACTCAGAAACTTGAGTTGGTCATTGTGAGATATAAATAACCTACAGTTGCTTTTACCACATAGCATTATTATTGCTTTCATCTATTTTAGGTCTAACAGCTTTGCGTAGTGATGAAGTAATTGATCTTATGATTAAAGAATACCCTGCCAAACATGCTGAGTATTCTGTTATACTGCAAGAGAAAGAACGTCAGCGAATAACGGATCATTATAAAGAGTACTCTGTAAGTAATTAGCATATAAGAGAACCACATCTGTAACACTGAGTGTGAGAAAAAGCTGTTCTCAAACTGATGGTGAAATGTATGCAGATTAATAAAATTGTTTTTATTCCAGCAAATGCAGCAGCAGAACACACAGAAAGTAGAAGCCAGTAAAGTTCCAGAATACATTAAAAAAGCTGCCAAGAAAGCTGCAGAATTCAACAGCAATTTAAACCGAGAGCGGATGGAAGAAAGAAGAGCCTATTTTGATTTGCAGACGCATGTAGGCAGATTTAAATTTCTTACCAATGTTAACAGGTAGCTCCTTACTTGTTTTAGTAAAGATGGTTTTGGTACCATTTTAACTTTTATCAAGGTTTCTGATTATTGTTCAGTCATGTAGGGACTTACACAGTTTTACGATTAAATGGGTAATACTGCTAAAAATAATCTCAAATATATTTAATCAGAAAACTTTTAAACTTCAAAATACTTGTCTCAGGAAGCTCTAAAAATTTCAGTGTTATTTTGTTATCATATCTTTAATCTGATGATAGAAGAATAAAACTAAGAGGGTTGTTTAGTTACTAAAAAGCTTCTGTTGACTGTTATATTTATGCATAAAAATGGCTAATTCTTCTTTGGAATACCTCCAAAATTTTACTGGAACAGTACCTGAAGTAAAAAAGGAAACCATTTAATCTTTAAAAGAGTGCTGCTGTCAGTGTTCTGCCCTTTTTTTTTTCAATAGATGTTACATTATGTTTGTACTGCATATATTACATGCCTCAGTGACTGATTAGAAAAAAATTAGCTGTCATTTTGAAGCAGTACTGTTCTACTTCTATAAAGACAGCAAAAATTTTCTCTGCAAATTATTGCATGGCAGTCTATTGTGGAAAGTTTACATCTTTCTGGTATTGACCCATGTTAGAGGCAAGATAGTGGATAATTAGTTTTATTGCCTTCTGAGGGAAAGCAGGCTTCTATGTAAGCTTCTCTTTTCTATGTATTTATATTATTAATGGAATTTTTTATACTACAGTCTGGTTTCAGAATTAGATATATGTGTTCTTTCTACTCTCAGCCAGTATGGGCCAACAGTGATAATTCATGCTAAGGATGCCATGCACAAAAGTTAATGTTTATTATTTCAGTTGCTAAATTTTAATTTTAAAATTATTTTTCCTAATACACTGTTTGAAGTAGTTACCCAGTGTTCGTTCAGTTCACTAGATACTTAGGGATTTAATTTAATAAATAATACTGTTTTGTGAGTGGGACCTCTTCTGTTTTAATGAATTGAATTTCTCATGGAAGAACTCAGGTAGCTTTCCTGTTTTAATAAAACTGACTAGTTAAGAAATATTTGGGGTAATAGTTGGTGAGAAAGACTCAACAGTTTGTATGTGAAACAAAAATGTCATTGTTTTATATTAAACAATATAGATTATCCAGGTGCCTCAAGGAAAATACAAAATCTTACCTACAGAGAGAACAAAGGTTAGTCCTTATCCAGTGGCTCTCATACCCGGCCAGTTCCAGGAGTACTACAAAAGGTATTTTCAAAGCATGCAAACTGCCAATTCTCTTGCACTGATCCCTTTTCTCTACATGTAACAGGTGGAAAACATTTTAGTGTCTTTACTGTAAGGTTATGATTTAATTTTGTGTTTGAGGCACTTGCTAATCTTGAAATATGCATAGTGTGACATCTTCTGTCAACAACAGTCAGTAATGACTGCAAGAGTACTGTCTACCCTGATGTATTGTAGTGCCTAAGATTTGTCCTGCTCAGATATTTACCATGGTAAAAGGAGACATTGATTTCGCTCCTGCCACCCTCATGTATTTACTTATCATCTGCCTCTGCATGTGTACCAAGATTAATATTTCTGTATCAAAGTGCTGTAATGCTGGCTCGTGATCACATGTTTTCTGTGTGACAGTCTTACTGTCCTTTTTAAAATTTTTAGAAACTCCTTAATTAAAAAAAAAAGTTAATTTGTCTTGTGGGTTAAAATTGATGTTGGATTTGTGAGAGAAAGACATTGCAAGCTGGATCTTTACATTTCATGAAGCATGTGTACTTGAATGTTTACATAAATTTAAGATATTACTAGTGGCAGGATACCATTGAACAGATACATACTAATTTGAAGATTTTGTGGAAGTCTTAACGATTGTACAACAGAGATGGTATTCATTCTGTACATGCTTGGTCTTCTTTAGAGAAGCTCTTCATCTCCAAGTGCCTTGCTTGTTCAGTGTATGTTTGTACAACCCACCCCAAAGTTGCATGCTACAGGACATTCTTGAAGGACTTCAATTTTATTAAACTAATTGAATTAAAATTACTCCATATTATGTTTGTTTTGCACTTTTAAGCTGCAAGTGAAACTGCTTATCCATCTCGGTGAAAGACACAACCTTTCAAAATTTGCATCAAAATAGTATCCTATTTCTTAAAATGCTTGTTGTCAGCAGTAAGAGGACTTTCACTTTTTTCTTAGTCTTTAAGTTAAAAAGATAAAGGGTGGATTACGGATGTTAAGCTATATCTGGCTATGAGCAATGTGATTAGATCTTCACATTCTTCCGAAATTATATTTTTGTATGCATTTTTCCATTCTCCTTCAGTAATCAAGGAATTTGGATGTACAGCTGTATCCTTTCCTTACTTTGCTTTGGGTGTATTTGTGTGCCCTGAGTTAGAACTGTACACGTGCTATGTGGGCACTGTACATTTATAGACAAAGTGTATGGTCTGTTGGGCATAGTAGCGTGGGTTGGTTAAAAATTTGTAGTGGTTCCGTAGTCTCTCACAGCAGTTATGGAACATTGCAATACGCTCTCCTGTGTTCTGTGAATATCTACTCTAAAAAGTAAGACAAGTACTAGATGGTGTCACATTTGGGAGGAGAAATTAGTATGTTTCCTGTGTTTTCAGAACTGTATGTCTTTATGTGCCTTTCTGAAAACAAATAAGTGTTTCTTAGTCTTTCTTATTGACGTTCTTGTGAATGAATTAATTTTAATTTTTTAACTTTAGATACTCTCCAGATGAACTTCGTTACTTGCCATTAAACACAGCTCTTTACGAACCTCCTTTGGATCCAGAGCTGCCTGCATTGGACAGTGATGGAGATTCAGATGATGCAGAGGAAGGGCGAGGTGATGAGAAACGGAAAACCAAAGGCAATTCGGTGAGACAAGTTGAAAGTATTCTTGAACAAAATAATACTTTCCCTTCACTTTTGTTAGTTTCACTAGTTTCTTAGTAGAATCTTTCAACATTTGCAAAATAAAAAGAGGATCTTTTTTATTACTTTAATTTATCACACTGCTCTCCAGCTTTCCATTTTGATCCATTTTTAAACTAAGTGGAGCAAATATTTGACATTTCAGGCCCTTTCTTTCCTCCCCCCCCCCAATACAGCTCTTCATTGTGCCCTTTTCTCCAAGGGGAAGTTGTTGCTAGCATTTCTGAAGAGAATGAACGTTGTAGTTCAGACCACAGTATATTCTGCTGTTTAGAGTTCCACAGAATTTGTCCCTAAAGTGGAGGTCTTGATAACCTTATGGCTTTTTTGACATAGAAGCAGGAAGTACTCAGTACAGAAACAATTACCTTATTCCAATTTAACAAGAGGGCAAAAAGTGCTGGGTTTTTTGCTTAACAATACATCTTTAAAAAGATATTTATGTTCTTTCTACATACGCAAATGCAAAATTAAGTGTTAGCTGAAAGTTAAGGGAAACTTCCACATACCTACCTTGATAGTGTTTTAAATGCTCAAGAGCAGCTGAGCTTCAAATGAGTTGAGTACAACTGAACCATTGGTATGTTGGTGTAGTTTGTATGTTGGTGACAACCACTTTTCAGAGGTTTAACCCTAATTTTAACAGCAGTGGAATGTCACAGGTGCATTTAATAAATTCCAGCTTGACTGATGAACGTTTGATGGTGGGTATGTATGATTCTAAATTTTGCCATGTAAATACTTATTTTGTTTGAATTTTGTAAGATACTCATAACTGAAGAAGAAAGGAAGAGGTCAACTTGTAGTTTAACAAAGGAAAGAGGGCTGTTGATACACTGCTTCTGCTTGCATTTTGAGAAATTATATGAATTTAACATGTTAAATGTCTACTCAAAATTGTTTTAATCACACTCCAGCTGTTTTACAGTTGGTCTTTACCCATTTTTTTCCCAGTTTCCTTTTCCAATGGCAGTCATTCATGTTAATGATAAAGAAAAGTAACTGGGCTAAGCAGACTACCCTTTGATTTTACATTGAAGTTCAGAAGTCTTTTTGGTGATGGAATGCAGAAGGAAAAATGTCCATTAGTTTGAAAAGAGTAGAAAAATATGCAAAACTGATAATCAGATGCATGTGAAATGGGTTTGGCTATGGAAGCAGGAGTTCTTGCTAGTCATTGAGGATGGGCATATAGTTCAGGAAAAACGTGTTGAATACAGAGGTGGCTGTTGTCGGACCTCTGTTTCTAAGTTTTGGGCTACCTACCATCTGTCAGATCTCCCTGGTGAGTCCTACACTAGGTTTTATACTTTTGTCACCCTCCCCACTGTTTGACATTGGTAGCAGTTTTCCTTTTCTGTAGTGTTTTAATGGGTTTGTCAATAACCCTTCCCCTAAAGTAAGGGTGAAACAGTATTTCTTGTTGCCACATAGTTTGATTTGCTTTGGTGTTATACTCCTCCATTTGCCCTGTGTCTGGTCTGTTTTGGTTTTAGGCTGATTACTATTATGTTTGTACAGAGCATGTTTTACTGTAGGGCACCATTGTTATTTGGCCTCTTGGGTTTTATTGTAATAAATGTGAATAATCATACTGCTTCCTTCTGGAGCTTTTTGGAAGCCTTTCTTAACACTTTTCTGAGAAAAGTCTTGTGCTGCTGCTCTTTATTATGCTTACATTGATCTCTCACCCTCTGAAACTCTTCCCCTCTTTCTTGCCTCCTCATTCCTCAGAAAAACCCCTTTAACTGCAACATAAATCCTGTTGTTTGGTTCTGTATTAAATATGGAAATGTGTTTTGCTGTTGATGGCATTCTTCTGCTGCAGTCCAAATTAAATATTTAGATTGCTCCTGGTGAAAATAGTACATGAGGGTGGCAGAAAAAAAACCTTCACATATTAAAGGCAGTGCTGTTTGGTAGTACACTTTAAATGCATGACAAGGGCACCTTTAACTTTTTACTTGCCCTTTACTTTGTAGACAGCATCTTGCATATAATGGATTTCTTGCTGGCTTAATGGAAAATGGTTCAAAGAATTACACTGTTGTGCTCCCCACTCTGGTGCCAAGACCAACTGGAAAACAGGACTGCTGTTGCTGATGCCAGTCTCTTAGCATGAGAAAAAATAGATAATGAATGTTGTGAGCAAAGGTGTTCTAGATTGTGATAAACCCCATGCTTTTGCGGAAGGAATGATGTACCCTTCTCTTACCTTAGTTGGCTCTAAGGGGCATACAAAAGACTTGTCTGTCTATCCAAAAAATAAAAAAATATAGCTATGGTATTTTTATTATAGGACAATTCGTCTGGCAATGTATCTGAAGGTGATTGCGCCACAGACAACCAGGAGGATTCTTTTCAGGGAAGACAAAAAACAAGAGACAAAAGTGCTACTCCAAGAAAAGATGGTTCCAAACGTTCTGTATTACCCAAATCAGTTCCTGGGTACAAGGTAGAAGAAAAAAGCCCCTGACTGAACTTTACTCACCAGCCTCTCCCTGAAGTATTTGGTTTTTTCAATAATATGGAACTTCTGCTTGCTGTACTTCACTAGCTGTTCTCCTGTTGTGTGCTCCACCTGTTTGCTTCCTTATTTCCTTTTTGCTTGTATTTCATGTGGGGCTTTCCTTTACCCTAGCTGTACAGTGGCCTGTTTCCTGTTAACTTCTTGGATTCCTAGGCAGAAACATTAGAAAAACCCATTGTGGATTTAGTGTTGGAAATCTACAGCTGTATGCCTTAACACAGCAGTCAGAAGTATGTGTCCATTCGCTATCTGGTTTTTTTTCCTTACTGTTTAGTATGGCAGCACACCAAGAGACCAGTGCTGTAAAGTGCAGCTATATGGCTGAACATGTTGTTGTGACATTCATTTTAAATACAGCCTTTTATCCTGCGATGTTATGATATATAACATGGAAGGCAAAAACTCACTATGGTTGTATAGGCAACACTACATAACCACTTTAACAGTGTATGGAAAATAGCTTTTTATATAGTTTTTACTATGTAGAAACATTTGTGGGCAATATGCTTTTATCTAGGCTAAAAACTTGGTGAGGATGTTGAGACATTTCAGCTGTCAAACAGTGATTGCTGAACCTAAGACCCAAATCCTTAGTATTCCTGTATAATAATTTCAGAAATTAGGATAAAAATAAGATTAGGGTAAAATTAAGATTAACATTAAAATAAAAATACTTTTCAGGAGACATAGGAATTGACACGCATGGGTTTTTATTCTGCATACTGAGAACGTATCTGAATAATCCTGTAACACTTTCAAAGCACATAATTGTCCTTTTCCACTGAGAGAAATAAGAATTTTCCATTGACTTCTGTGGGAGCAGGAGTATTATAGAGAAGGAATACACTACGTTAAGATAGGGTTGAATATTTAACAGTCGGGAATACTTGTTGAGACTTACAGGACAAGGAACACTTTTGTCAGCGACAAGTTTGTACATGCTGAGAAAGTCTCTCAGCAAAAGTGAGCTGTTGATGGCTTGCATTTTATATTTATAAATATTTACTATCTGTATTTACCAAGTTAATAGTAAATAAACTATAGCTTACATCAAGAAGCTAATTTCCAGCAAGAATTGGACAGCTTTGATAAATTTACATACAGTATTTGTACAAGTTCATAACAGACAGCAAGCTCCAGTTGCATTTTCTCTTTTCAGGAACTTACTAAGAAATATGTGAATTATGGAGATTTAGACTGTGGTTACCGTATGTATATTTTTTTATACATAACTTTGCAAGATGTTTTAGACACAGAATGCGTATTCATATTCCTATGAACATGAAATCCAAAGATGGAACCTGAAATTTGCTTTAGCTTTGTTTAACTTGACATTAGAGATTGTGTGCCACTGATTTACAGAAGTTTCATTTAGCTGTGAGATGCCTAAGTGTTTAATTAGTCCAGTCTGTTTAATGGCCTTATGAATGCATAAGGAGAGAATTAATGGAGCAGAACTTCCATCAAAGTTCTGAACTTCTAACTGCAGAAGAGCAATGATAGTATACAGCATTGCATTTTGAAAATGAATTCCCGTAACAATTATTTGTTGATTCAAAATCACCAATTCTGTTAGTAACATGGTCTTGCTGTAAACTTACAGTGCCACATCTTTCCAATGTCAGCATACCCTGCCTGCATCAGCCACCTGATAAGTCAGAGGTGGTGATGTTGTGTTGGAAGGGTGAGAGGATTGGCGTTCTTTTTTGTGGGAATGTTTGAAAGCTTGCAATAAGCCAAATTACATGAGCTGTTTTAGCTGGTAAGACAGAATGATTCTTGTTTGTGAGTCTATAAAAACACCAGATAACTATATACCTACCGTATGTGCTTAAATGTTAAGGCACTTTGAGCTGAAGGCTTAACTGATTTAAAATGTTTTCCCTGTGAATTTTAAGTCTTTATAATACTTTTGTTCTGTATTGTTCTCTAATATTGGACTATTTTTGTAGAACAGTTCATTTTTTGGTTACATGTAGTTAAAATTGAAGGATAATTGCTACGGCATCAGCATACATATGTATAGTTAATAGCCACATTATTAGTATTACAGGATTCCATACATTTCCACTGAGTTATTTTTGAGTAAAAGAAATATTATATTTTATATGGAGTCTTTTTTTATCATCAGTTCTTTAACAAAGAACGATTAGGATGTATTTTACATTTTGTCATGTTACAAGTAGCGAGTCTTTGTTGCTGCAGGACTGACTACAATTGCACACACAGGGTACTGTTAAAAGTACAGATTTTTTGCACATAAAACTGAAACGTATTGAGAATCTATATTTTGCAACACTTCTGTTTTGGGTCACTGCATATGAAAATGTAACGCTTTGCATTCAGAATAGCATGTTCTAAAAATGGTGTAATTGGAAAGCTGAGAGCTGCAGCACAGCAGCATGGAAGTGAAAACTTACAGAACAGGCAGTCATTGTTTTGACCTTGCATTCATTTTCTCTCCCTTCCTTATCCCAGTAAGATCAGGGCGTAGAAAGCAAAATTTACTCCTAATGAAATGGCATATTGTGACTTCCCATTTAGATTTGACAGATGTTTTTTATACCATTTCTAAAAGCCATTTATGGTGGTAGAATTGAGCTGTTTTGAAATGTGAATAGTCTGGGGGTTTTTTTGTCTTTTTTTTTTTTTTTAAATACTTCCTTACTGTTGGAACTTCATTATTAATAGGCTGTGATTCTCATGCCCCCTAACATGCACAGTATCTAATGAATACAATTTAGTGCAGTAAGACTAAATGGAAGCATTGTTAATAAATGCATCAATATCAATGTCTATCTTGAGACTTATGTGTATCAGAGTGTGAACTGCACATACCCTAACACAGGTACAGTGCTCACTTGAGTTTGCCTGGAGAACCAGGGAGTGTGCTGTTGTATATTAAAGGCAGTGAAATATAAATCTAGAAAAATACAAAGCTAGAAGTCTGATTAGAAAGTACACTTGCTATTCTAGAAAGGCTTGGTTTTCCTAGAAATAGATTGAAAAAACAATTAAAAAAATAGAATATAGCCTAAACAATAGAAGGGTAAATGCTGCCACACTGACGAGGTTTAAGCATGTGCCACTTTTGTTGGGAGGAGCAGGGTATAAAGGTATATATGTAGGACACATAGTATAGTTAACAGTAAAAGAGTTTGTGTGTGGTTTTGCTTCCATTTATATTTATTATTTTGTAGAGATATTTGTGAATGTTAGACTTCTTTTATTGTTTTATTATATTTATGTATAAAACAGGTTGACTTTGCTTTTTTAAAATAAATAAGCAAAAAAAAAGTGTCTATGAATGCCTCTGTCATCTTTTAAAGGAAGTTACCTATAAACATATGGTGTGGTGGTTTGCTTTCTTAAATAAAACTCTTTAGACCAGACAATTTGGAGCAGGCTGTAGCCATGTTTTGACACAAAAAGCAGATTGAAAACTTCAGAAAACTTGAAGCAATGTATCCTGACTACTCTTAACAGTGAGTCAAGATTTTAATTATCTCGCTAGGTGCTAGGAAAAACTGGCTTGAGAAATAAACACATTTAAAGATAAGTTGTATTGCAAAATATCTCAGTAATTATTTTAAAATATATATATATTTGTGTTTTCACTTTTTAAATTTATTTTAAAATTAAACCGTATTCTTCTTCCTATGTGCATTTGATAGTTGACTGGGATCCTTCTTGCTTACCGACAAGCTGTTTAGAAGAGGATATGCCTTCAGCTCCTTCTACTTGCTGTGTCTACACAGCACCATTGTTTTTAAAACTCTGACGTTAGTCAGTTTAACATCAGTAAGCACTGCATTAAGTGCAAACTACATTTGTCACTAATGTAATTATGCAGTGGTCAAAGCTCAACAATACAACTATTGCCATGTTTCTGAAATTTGTAATGCCGTACTTCTTCCTCATTGGAATAAAACGGTGTATCTCTGGAGTTGGGACACAGAATAGACGCATAGACAAATGTTCCACATTGTAACAGCCTGCTATTTCTCTTACCCCCTAAATGGATCTCATGGACCCAGACACACTCCACATTATCACTTAGAAAAATTATGAATATAAATCTGTGGTTAAATGCAAGGCTCTGTTTCTTATAGCTATTATGACTGGATACAAAAAGGAATAGTAAAAGAGAGAGCTCTGTATGGCATAGCTAACCAGATAATTTGAAGCTAGATAGAAAAAATCAAGTTTATTGCTTTTGTAATTAATTTTCTCTATTTAGAGGCAAATGTAATGCAAATAAATTGTACATAATTTCTTCCATAAACAGGAAATCCACACTGAAGTTCGTAATGTAGTATTCTATCTTGGAAAAAGTGAAATTTTTCATCCTGTCACATTTAGTTTACATTGAGAGGCATGTTAGCTGATGAATTCATAGGAAGAAGCAAGGACATGATTTTGATACAGTTTGATTTATATATAACTATGTATGACAAATGGAAAATTGTATGTACCTAATCTATGATTTTTTTCAGTGCTGCTATCAGTTATTGTCACGTGTTTTAAGGTCCACACATCCTAACAGTTTATTAATTTTAATAGTTAAGGAGATAGATGACATTTCCTGTTGAATCTGTAAATTCTTCTGGAATGAATTTATAGCCCTCTTCTACCCTTCCAGCCAAAGGTCATTCCAAATGCTATATGTGGAATTTGTCTGAAGGGTAAGGACTCCAACAAGAAAGGAAAAGCTGAAGCTCTTATACATTGCTCCCAGTGTGACAACAGTGGTAAGTATCTGCGTACACTCAGTGGATTCCTAAGGGAGTTTGTTTGACAGATCTTTTTGTGGACATAGTGTCCTACACATGTGCAGCAACAGTTCAATTGCCTTTTCTGTCCTTCATTAAGACTCCATCTCTCTTCTGTGTTGTATGTACTAGCACACTCGGTGCACTGTGGGATCTCACCAGGAGGTGAGCTAAGCTTCAGCTTTGGTAAAAGCAGAGAGTGTAACTAATTTTAAATTTCATTTCAGACATAAAAATAATAATACTGGTTTTAATCTAGGCCATCCTTCTTGCCTTGATATGACCCCGGAGCTTGTTGCTATGATTAAGACTTATCCTTGGCAATGTATGGAGTGTAAAACGTGCATAATATGTGGGCAGCCTCACCATGAAGAAGAAATGATGTTCTGTGATGTATGTGACCGTGGTTATCACACTTTTTGTGTGGGGCTTGACGCTATCCCTTCAGGTAATAAAGTAAGAGTTACTTGTTCCCTTCACACCTCCTTTGAGTCCTGGGCGTGCTCTCTCAGAATTAAACCATGCACTGCTTTTGAAAGAATAGTTTAAAACAAGTGTGAAGGGTAGGGATAAGAAATACTGTAGGAAAGCATTCACACTGTAGGATTCACACCTGATTTTTTTAATATGCTTTATTTCTGTATATTTGGTTGTGCACAGTTTAACCTGGCAATTCCTGTAAAGGAAATATAATGGGCTTTTACAACATAAACCAAACAGGCTCACTCAGAACTATTTTCTTCCATATCCACAGAACACTGAGGGTAATTACCTCTTTTAATGAAAGAAACTTGTAAAAGAGACTGTATTGCTGCATATTGCTAGAGTGTAGCTTTCACATTAATTGTTGGTGCAGCTATTTCAGCTTCTAAATTCAAATGTAGTTTCAGTATTTGTAAACACCTCTTTAAACCCTATCCTTCCCTTTTTTACTTAAACTTCAAAGCTCTAACTGAAGTACGTCTACGGCAGGCAGGCAGGCAGGCAGCCTGTACTTTTAAATTACCCAGTCACTCCTATCACCTGGCTAACTCAAGGCTGTAGAAAGAAAATAACAGGTGCTATGTTGCTTTACATGTAATACTAAATCCATGGTAAGTAAGTTTATGAATAGGTATTCAGTGGCAGTGACAATACACCCTGTATACTACTTCAAAAATGCTGTCCAGTCCCATTGTAGGAAGCACTGGCATTAGTTGTCACTTTAGTACACGTTCTGCGGTTGATTTCACTTTCAGGCTGACCTAAGAATGTAAACAAAATAGATCATATGTCTAAAAAACTATAAAATTACCAAAGCAGCCTTTATGGTTCCAGCTCTTTGTAATATAAACAGTTAAATGCCTCCCCAAGTGCCATTCGTTTCTGCTCTGGGTAACTTCCCATAACCTTGAACTATAGTCATTCACCTGAAAGTAAAACTGGCAAACTTGAGCATTGTTTGTCAAGTCGTATCTAATAACCATGTCCTTGGTAGTGCTGACACTTCTTGAGGTCCATAAGGATTTGTGTAGCCAGTGGTTACACGTAAGGAGTCTGCAAGGGAGCATGAATTGTATATGCTGCTTTACAGAAAAGAGGCTTAATTTTAAAGAAAAGCATTGCTTGTTTGCATTAAAGGAAGTACTGTAAATAGATAAGCGCCTGTTAGAATGATGAAAGGTGCATAACTAGATGAGTGAGTAACAAACTTAGTTTCCCAATAATTGATAACTTTCTTTTCTTAGGTCGCTGGATTTGTGATTGTTGTCAAAAAGAACCTCCTGTACCCAGAAGAGGAGGAAGAAGGGGGAAAAACAGCAAAGAGGGCTAAAAAAACCCCAAAAGGTTGCTCTCCAAAACTTAAATGCACAAATTAAAGTGATACTTTGGTGCTATTTAATCAACCACTCTAAGAGGAACAATACCACTTTTTCTTTTTACCAAATAAACTTTTAAATAATATATAATTATTTTTTGTGATACAAGTCACTAATCACGTCCTATCAGATGTCGAGATAGACAAACCAAATTTCCACTCCAAAATAGAAGTCTTTCAGAATGAAATTTAAATTGTACATCCATCATTTGTATAAAATTATAGTAATGTACTTGTTTATTTTAGTGCACTCATCAGTAAGCTCCATGAAAAGAAAGCTACAGATCATTTTAAATATACTCTATTTGCATAGCAACTGGTTATTTTGAAAGACTCAGCCAAAGAAAAAATATTCTTGGGAAAAGTAGCTTTAGAGGAAGAGTGGGTATGACATGACCTTCTTCCTTTCAGCAGAAATTTTCTTTGCAAGCTAATGACTTATGCATAAAGATGTGCTAAAAAAAAGAGATCAATCACAAAAAGCTATAAAGGGAAGTGTAAGAAAGCACTCCTCAAGTTCGAGATACTATATGCTGTGTTGTTTTTAATGAGAGATGAAAATGTCATACTGACAAGTAACAACAGCTGAAGGCTCCCTCTCCCTACAGTAACAGCAAAGAAGCAACATGCACTTGATGCAGGCCATGGATTTGCAGTGACTGGATAGATCTCTGCTTGACAGATGGTTCACGTGATGCAGAGCACACACAGCCGAAATACAGACCACCTATCCCCTTAGGTGATTGATTGTTTTCTCCTTCCTTTGCCCTAGGCTCCTCAACTTGATGAATACACACAAACCCATTGCTAATTAGTTTTATTGGAGATATTTGCTCAAAAAGCAGCAGGTTTTATTTTTAAATATGCTCTAAATTGAGAGGGGGACTGAAGTGCAGGAATTTCATTTTTCTTTGTAAAAAACAATAGAAAATACTGAATTGGAGTTGATCATCCTAAGCACCTATTTAAAAGTGAAGTTAACAAGATCCCAACTATACATTCATTTTTAAGCCCCGATCTTTGAAGAGCACTGCAAATACTGTGCTTGCTGCTCATTTTACATATAGGGGAGGATTTACAATATAAAATTAAATATGGCTTTTTCTCCCCGCCTCCTTTCTGGTTTAGGAAATGTAACCTGAATACCTCTTCAGGAAACATAACAAAGAGTATTAAATATTACAGCATGTCATTCGTACTCAATTCCACAGGCTGAAGTGTGACTTAGTCCAGTGTGTAACAATTTAAAAAAGAATTTCAAGTATTAATTTCAATATTCCAATAAGTATAGTCCAGAAAACAGACTCCTCATCCTGAGATTCATCTTCTGCAGACTGTGAGTATTTCTGGTTTGCCTCCATCTCCTCAGGGTTATAAGAAGCCTCACCAAATGGGTACTGTACAACTGTTCGATCGTAGTACACTTTCATTTCAAACTCACTCTCCAGGTGAGAGGGATGGCCGTAAATCCCTATTCCCACGGGGCGGCGGAAGTGTGCAGGCACGTGCACCATGTCTTGGCCACAGGTTACAGACTGTAACTCATACTCGTCAAAGCTGGGGTGAAGTGTCACATCAGATACATACAAGTCTGCATCACCTTTTAAACTTCGCATCTGAAGGACTATCTTTCCCTCGTGATTTAGTCTCAAATAGCTGTAGTTTCCTGCTCCAATCTGACCTTGAACAACATGAAGAAGAATCCATTCCTCAGGTACATCCTCTTCCTCAAAGGCATTCACAAGTAGTACTTGAGCTGTCACACATATTATCAGGACTTTTCTCCAGTGTGCTGCCATGGTCTTAGGTTGTACGTGGACTCTTCCTGTGTCCTGTCTCCTACCTTGTGAATACAAAACACAAATCAGATTTTAGTATATTCCCTCCTTGGAAGAAACTGATTTTTTTAATTTTGTAATTTTTATAAATCCTCTCTAGTCCATACCAAGTTAAACAACTTCAAGTGTGTTCATTAACTTTTATTTTTTAATAGTAACAGAAATCAGTGCTAAGATTCAGAGTTCTGAATCAGACTGAAAATGGCCTGAATTCTCTAAACAGAAATTCATTAAGCCAGTGTTCTTTCATACAGAACTGACACAAAGACTTTATTTCATTCCACCTGCATACCTGAGAAATCTGGCAAGTAACCAGAAGGGATGAAACCCAGTAATTATTTTAACTTCAGTCTAAAAAAAACCCAAACAGATAAAAAACGGAAAGCTTTTGCATGCCTGGAGAAGCTTAACTTTTTATGAGGTATTTAGGACATCCTATTTGTTTCTTCCATCTTCTCATCTCAACTTCAAAAGACAGTAAAGGTGTAAATCTGGATGTGCGCATGAAGCAGTAGGCATTCTGACTTGCACTGAGAATGCAGTTAGAAAGAAAAACATTATCTAATGAGGTAATACATTAATTTATGATTATTGCTGTGTGGCTTGCTTCTAGGGCCAAATTCAGCTTATTTTCCCTAAAAAAAAAAGCATTTACTTTCAAGACTTTGTTACCCTACAAACACCCAGCCCTTTACAGCACTTTCTTACAAAAGAGAAAGTACTGGGGCATGGGGAAGATGGAAATGACTGCTGCAAGATCAGGGCTCTTACACCTCTTTCCCTCCTTGTCCCAGTTGGGCCGCCTGAGCGTGCCTGCCACACTCCAGTCCTCTGAACAGCTGTGCTCAGTCTGCATGCAAAGCAGCAACCTCCAAACCTTGCTGAAGGCTTCCAAAGTATACAGCTGACTGAATCTGACGTGCAAATCACAGGAAACACAATCCTAAACACCTTCAAGTTTAAGAGGAAGATTCCCATCCCCTCGTTCCTTCCATAAGGACACTACAAATACCTTAAACGTGAAAGCTGCCTGTAAGTTGCTTTGTACCCTGCTAGCATCTAAACAAACTGCATTACTTCCACAGAGATGTCACTCAAACCTTAGAGGTCTTACTATTAGACAAATCTAGGGGGGAAACGATGTACAACTATTTCTGTAGTTCCAAGTTTTTTGCCCCAGAGAAAGCAAAGCCACAATTCTGCAAAGCCAGCACAAAAGACGGAGGCGCAGCATTCGCAGAACCTGCCAGACTGACAAAACTCCCTCAACAGCGACAGGAAAGGACAGTCTTTTGTATCCCCGTATCACGGAGCTCACTCTCTGCCACTTTTACATCGAAGTAGTGATGAAATACCCGAGCGGAGGCACAGGAGGACCTTCACATTTGAACAGAAAATAATTAAAGTTATCTAGCGACGAACGAAAGCGTCCTGGCGCTGGCGCAGCGCTCGGGAGGAGTGGCGATTCCGGGAGACCTTGGACAGAGCCAGGAACGAGCACCTCTGCCCGCTCCGGCTCGCCCCCGCCTCCCCGCGGGCGGGACACCCTTCGGGGCCAGCGGCGGCTCCGGGGGGCGCGGGGCGGGCCAGGCGGTGGTCTCGGCGTCACCCCGCCGGCCGGGGACTGGGGCACGGCTCACCTCCGGCCTGCCGCGGGGCTCCGGCGACAGCGAGGCCGCGGCCACGGCGAGGAAGCGCGGCGAGGGCTCCGCGGACGTGCGGCAGCGCAGCGCGGCCGGGGCGCCGCGGGGAAGCCCCTCCCCGGGGCGGGCTGGGGCGGGCCCCGGGGCAGCGCGGCGGCCGGGAGGAGGCCGGCGCTCAGGAGCCTGCGGGCAGGGCGGGCCGCCGCTCCCCCTTGGGCGCTCCGGGGGCCCCTCGGGCGGCCCGGGGCAGCGGACGGGGGTCGCTTCGCTGGGGCGGGTGGAAGCTCCGCACCGCCCCTCGATCGCCGCCAGTATCGCCAGCGCTCCGCCCCGCCCCGGGCAGCTCCACCGCCCCGCTATCGCGAGAGCTGGCGGCGGGGGCGGGGCCGCGCGGGGGCTCCTCAGGGAAGGGCGAGGCGGTGCGTCGGGACACGGTGGTGTCCGAGTTTGGGAGCTGTGCTCCTCCAGGCTCGCCGGTCTTCACAGGGAAAGCCTGAAACTGGAGAAATTAAATTCAGCTGCACTGACATGGGATGTCATGTGCTTGCTGGGGCATGTGTGTCCCTGCAGGAGTTAGCGACAGTTTGTTTGGCTGTCGGCATAAAGCTGGCCTGAGATGACAGGAGAGATCAGAAGAACACTGCGAAAAGAGAGAAAAACAAAACAAAACAAAACCCCACCTGCTTTTCACGAATTCACAGAATGGGTCAGTTTGGAAGGGACCATTGTGGGTCATCTGGTCCAACCTCCCTGCTCAAGCAGGGTCATCCCAGAGGACGTGGCACAGGATTGTGTCCAGACGGTTCTTGAGTATTTCCAGTGAGGTAAACTCCACAACTTCCCTGGGCAATCTGTTCCAATGTGCATGTACCCGAACAGTAAAGCTCTTCCTCGCATCCAGGTGGAACTTCCTGCGCATCAGTTTCTGCCTGTTGTCTGTTGTCCTACTGAATACCCCTTGATTTCATTGATTTCAACAGTTACCTTGACCTGGCTGAGCTTTTTAAAATCATAAGCAAGAGTGAAGGATTGAAATAATTAAAAAAAAAAATCTGCATGGAGTGCTTTGTGTTCTAGGAGATCCAAGAGAATCTGTGTATGTACCCCAGGGACCCTGTATTAACTGAGTTAATGTTCTGTCTTCAAAGCCCTCCAATTTCATAAAACCCACGTAACTTGTTCTGTTCATTCCTACATCAAACAAATGGGCTGCATAAACCTGCCAGATGCAGATTCTCATAAATTTAATCTTTTTTAAAAACAATTTCAGTCTTATGAACAGACTACTGCTTAAAACATTAAAATACTAAAGCTACTAAACCTAATGTTCTAAGTTCTTCTTAGAGTGATTGAATATTGAGACCAATAGAAATATACTATTGGACACAAAAGCATGATATGGTAAAGGACTGCTTTTTGCCCTAATATGCCCTAAAATTGCAACAGTCTCTCATTTTCCATATGGCTGTCAGTTCCATTTGTCATGTGTGGATACCCAGGATGTGGGAATATGCTGGAGCCAAGATCCTTTAGGCATTGTTTTGCATAGAAACAGGGTATCACCAGGAGGTGTTTTCATGGGAGTGTGGTGAGGTAAAAAATTCTCTCTGCACATTTAGACATCATTAATGTTCTCATAAAATTGTCTTCTTGTTCCAACAGGGCAGAAATCTGCTACCTGTTACAGTGCTGGATGAGTGGCATCTCTGGCCACTGAGAAGCAACAGCACCTATTGGAAGGGCGGAAAGCAGTGATGGTCTGAATTGGACTCCATCAGATTGACGTTACTGGTTCAGGGTCCAGCTGCAGGAAAGCGGTGTTCTAACTGCTGTTGGATCAGTCAAGAAATAAGTCCAAGATCTCTGATACTTCCTTGGATTGTTACTAGTTCCCTAGTTGTTACGGACAGTACATTGTTGGAAGTATTATATCTACAAGCATTGAAAGATGCAAATGAACTATGGTGAAAATTGTAAAAAAAAGCATACTAAACTGTCTAGAAGCAGTTACAGAGACACAAGATGTTTCAGAACAAGTTCTTTAAGACTCATGGGGGTTGTTTGCCTGGCAGAACAACACCTTTTTTTCTGTGTCAGCGTTTGTCTTTCTTTACTGATGACTAAACTGTCATAACACATTCATGACTGTATCACTCATGAAAAATTGTCACCAGCAATAAAATTTTCTGTAGTATTTCCAGCCATGAGTCACAGTTCAGAAAAATGCTGTCATGTGCAGTGCATTGTTACCTCTGTGCGGCTGGTGCTCAATACAGTGGCTTTACCCAAAGTCACATGGGCGCTCACACGAAAGAGAATTTGGACTGGTACTTTCTCCAAGCAAAAGTAACACAAGGAGATTTTGTTCGCAATGATAATACACATATTAGATGCCAATATAGGGCAAAAATGCTCATAGTCTTAATTATAGAGACAATAAGATATTCCTATAGAAAGTATCTGTTTGAAATGCAGTTGAGGTAGATATTGAGTCCACAGATTGATCTACATCAAAATGGTTTTAAGTTGGTGCAGATCATAAAATCATAACCTGGGGGTTGAAAGGGATCTCCAGACTCCTCCAGTCCAACTTCCTGTTCAGAACAGTTCTAATTAAATCAGGTTGCTCAGGACCATGTCCATCTGACTCCTGGTCAACTCCAGGGATAGAGACTCTTCAGGAAACTTGTTCTGATATTCAACCACCATCATGGTATTAAATAAAAAAAAATTGCTGACATGCAACTGGATTTTCACAGGTTCCAGCTTATCACTGAGTTCCTCTGAGGAAAGTCTATCTCTGTCTTGCCTGTATCCTACAATTTTGAAGTTATAGGCAACAATAAGGTCTCAGCTGCCTTTTTTCAGGCTGAAGAGGCCTAGTTCTCTCTGGCTCTCTGTGTACATCACCTTCTTCAGCCCCTGACCTCTTTCTTGCCCCCTACTAGAATTGCTCTAGTGTGTCAATATCTTTCTTTTACAAAAAACACCCAAACCTGGACACAGCACTGCAGATGTGTCCTACCAGGTTTCAAACAGAGGGGGGAAAGCATTCCCAGGACCTGCTGGCTACTCTTTACTACTAACACAGCCCAGGATGCTTCAAGTGCTGTCATGGGCTGGCCTGTGCTGTGCCCTCTGCATCACAGAAGCACTGAAAGGGTTTGGTTGGAAAGGACCTTTAACAATCTCTTAGTCCAACCCCCCTGCTGTGGGCAGGGACACCTTCTAGTAGATCAAGTTGGTCAAAGCAACATCCAGCCTGGCCTTGAACACTTCCAGTGGCAGGGTATCCACAGCTTCTCTGGGAAACCTGTTCCAGTGCCTCATCACCTGTGCTGTAAAAAGTTTGCTCCTTATGTGCAATCCAAATCTATCCTCTCTTAGTGTTACGCCATTGGCCCTTGTCCTGACACTACAGGCGTTGGTAAAAAGTTTCTCTCTGTCTTTCTTACATGCCCCCTGTATATATTTGAAGACTGCTACAAGGTGTCCCTGGAACCTTCTCTTTTCCAGGACAAAAAGGTTCCACCTGAATATGAGGAAGAACTCCTCCGCTGTGCGAGTAACCATGCACTGGAACAGATTGCCCAGAGAGGTTGTGGAGTCTTCCTTGCTGGAGATATTCAAGAACCACCTGGACACCATTCTGTGCCACGTGCTCTAGGATGACCTTTCTTGAGCAGGGAGGTTGGACCAGATTGACCCACTGTGGTGCCTTCTAACCTGACGCATTGATTCTGTTAAAACCCCAGCTCTCTCATCCAGGAGAGGTGTTGGCATCCGTCCTTAAAGACCGCCTCAAAAGGTCTCAAGAGCCTGTCTCATGCTGGACGCAGTGCTCCAGCTGGGGTCCAGCTAGAGCGGAGTCGAGTGGGTCAATCTCTCCCCCGGACCTGCCGGCCACGCCGCTCTCTGTGCAGCCCAGGGCACGGCTGCGGAGAACCGCCGCGTTTGGGGAGCGAGAGCGCAGCCCCGGGCGGCTGTCGCCGGCCGCGGGGCCCGTTGCCGAGGCCAGGGGCCCGCCGGTGCCGCCGCGGGCCCCCCCCGCGCTCCGCGGCCAGCGGGGGCTGTCCCGCCCGGCCACCCGTCGGCGGCGCCGCTGCCCTGGTGACGGGCCGCGCCGGGCGCGGCGGGAGGCGGCGGGGCTCTCCGGCTCCCCGCGGGAGGGTCCTCCGCCCAGGGCCGTGCGAACCTCGGCCCCCGCGGGCAGGGCGCAGCCGGAGTGGGGAAGCCGGCCCCGGTGGTCCGTTCCCAGCCGCAGGATGGAAAGCGCCGGGGCCCGTTGTTCCGCTGGAGGAAGCTGCGATCCTGAAGTTGTCTGCGAAAAGCACCTGTTTAAAGCGAAACTGCCCGAGCCTCTTGCTCAGCTGGCGTGCAGTCACCACCACTGCGCTTTCCCTGTGAATGGCAATGAGTTATGCATCTGGAACACAGCCACTGCTCAGGTAAAGCCAGAATATATCCCTGCATAGGCTGCTACTTTAAACCAAGGCTTATAAGGGAGATATAAATAAAATATTTGAAGGTAATGTAGAAGGGTCAGGCTTCACTTTAATGCTGGAACGATACTAGCACTTGTGAGCTTTGTCAGTGTGATAAGAATAATATAAGCTCTTGTGGTGGGTTAATGTGGCTGGCAGCTGAACCATCAT